GGCATCAGCCAACCGAACCCAAAAGATGGCTGCGTTATGGTACGCCTCTGCAGCCGGGTGGGGTAGCCGGATGATGCCCGCATGGGCCAGAGGGGCCAGGCATCTGTGATAGCGAGACCAGAGACGTCGACGGTGTGAAAGAATCTCTGGTGCGGCTTGAAACTGGGCGTAGAGAAAGGCTGCTTGGATCTCACTCAGGGTTGCGTTAATCCCGACATCCAGCCAACGATAGATATCCACTTCTACACGCAGGAATTGAGCCCGGTTCGTGCCGTGTTCGTATAGGATCTCAGCCCGCGCCACAAGTGCGTCCTGGTTGACGAGTAATGCACCTCCCTGGCCGCCACTAGTGAATACTTTCTTCTCTTGGAAACTGATGCAACCCAGGTGTCCCATGGTTCCCAACGCACGTCCTCGATACAGGCTGCCGCAGGCCATGGCGGCATCCTCAATCACGAGGAGCTCATGTCGGTTAGCAATATCTCGAATTGTGTCCATGTCGCAGGCGATTCCAGCATAGTGCACCGGCACAATGGCCTTGGTCCGAGGCGTGATGGCATCCTCGATTTTCTGCGCATCGATATTCATGGTCGTCTCTTCCACATCAACAAAGACCGGTAGCGCCCCATGGACAACAAAGGCATTGACTGTCGACACGTACGTATAGCTTGGTACAATCACTTCATCCCCTGGCCGCAGATCGGCTAGGAGGGCCGCAATTTCCAAGGCCGAAGTGCACGAGCTCAACACAAAGGCCTTGCCATGTGGCATGCTTGATTCAAGCCATCGCTGGCACAATGCCGTGTAGTTCCCTTTCCCCATCAAAGTTCGGCTATCGAGTACCTCTTGTATGGCCTCCAGCTCCTGGCCGGTGACTGTTGGCTGGAAAGTGGGTATGCTCGCCCCCGGCATGGCAACGTCAAGCATCTAGGAACCGACTCTTGCTGAGGGAAGTTTGTATTTTTTCATCTGACTCAAGCAATTATATTCTAAAAGTTTGAGGTAAGGCCATTAGATATCTGGGAGTCTTGCTACACCGTATATGATTAGTCACACTTTCCTTGCGCCTTTTTCTCTATCTTTGCTGCTTGACGGCTGTCATGTGCACAATCAGAGGACGCTCGAACGTCGGTTTCCGAAAGGTCTTGTTTTCGGTGAAGTCCTGAATCGTGAAGGTCACTGCCAGACACATTTCAAATTCCCGGACATCCCTGGCTGACATCCTCAGCCCTCGTGCTGTTATGACATGTAACACAAACCCCTCCCTTATGGCTGTCATGACAGAATGGTGTGTCAGTCTGTCCGACGCTTGTCACACCATAGAGTGGTTGCCCAAGTGTTTTTTGGACTGAATGCGGGCGGGCAAGATTGGCACAGATTTAGATTCCCGAGCTTGAGGTGACTTGGACTGCAGTAAAGTGCTAAATGGACAGGTTCTATTCATCCCCCACAAGTTTTGATCGGATTTATGCCCATCCTTGGATTATGTGGTAGAGTGAGGTCGGTCATTTACCTACTCAACGACATGAGTTCCCATTCTGCGCCCGTGCCATTCTGCATCCGTTGGGGTATTATCGGTATGTGCCTTGCTTACATTACCTTGTCCGTGGAGAGGTTTACCAGACTGTTGACTTCTGATAGCCACAGGAAGCATTGCTGAAAGTATTACACCTGGCAAATAGTGCTGTGATTCTTACCGGCTAATCCGCCATGTAGCATTTGCAAAAGACCTTCTCGTTGATCCCGCCTCGCGAGGTGTTACTGATGTGTCGCATTTATTGGTGGCGGTGGCATCTTCGCGATCCAGCGAGATCGCTAGTCGCTTCATCAACAAGGTCGGAGCGCCGTCGTCCTGCATTGCGTATGGTAGCTACGACGCTCTGGTGGCGGACCCCTGCGTAGATGTCGTCTACGTCGCCTCCCCACATTCCCATCACTACCAGAACGCTATGCTCGGGCTGCAGGCCGGAAAGCATGTTCTCTGCGAGAAGCCATTTACTGTGACGGCTGGACAGGCACATCGTCTCGTCGAAACCGCTCGTGCGCGTGCACGTTTCCTCATGGAAGCCATGTGGACACGCTTCCTCCAAATCTCGGCTCAGATTAGGCAAGAAGTCCAGAATGGTGCCATTGGGCCCGTTATTCGGATCTTCGCCGACAACTCGATCGGAACGAACGCTTTGAAGGAGTTCAAGGACAGCTATCTTACCAAGAAGGAGTTGGCTGGGGGCGCGTTACTAGATCGTACGTGATGCTTAACCTCTAAGCGCAGAGCGATACTAAAGACGGCTGGACTTTAGTGGGCGTATATCCAATCCACTGGATCATGCAGACCCTCGCTCCCAGGCCCGATCCCAAGCCCAGCAGCATCCTATCAGCAACAACACCCCTTCTCGGCGCCGGGGTGGATGAATCGACAACCATTCTTATGGCCTTCCCTGTCACAAGTCCGTCGCCTGTGTCGGTGCAGGCGGTTGCCAGTTCTAGCCTACGCGCCATGGCGGACCCCGATGGTCACACCCCGGTAGTACGGATCCAGGGGGACAGAGGGGAGATCCAGATCTATGGCCACTCTTGGTGTCCGTCCAAGTACCGGATCATCAAAAGAGTGCAGCAGTTTGGTATTATAGGTGAAGCGGAAGAATTCGAGTATCGTGTTCCAGGGGGCGCACATGGGCTTTGCTTCGAAGCGGACGAGGTCGCCCGTTGTGTCCGAGATGAACGCCAGGAAAGTGCAGTCATGCCGTGGATGGAAAGCCTGACTGTCATCGAAATACTGGATGTAGTGCGCAGGGCGCATGGGCTTTTCTTTTCAGATATCGTCGAGTCAGATGACTATCCAGTAACTATGCCCGCCAAGATGAACTAAGCATGTTATCAGCCTTCGTTTAAGTATAATGCAAGATGCCTCTTCTAGGTAGTTTTTAATATCACACCGTTGTTTAGATGACTCCAGAATTCGAGCGCGCCGTAGCAGTCGACCTTTTCATGGGAGTGAATGCAATAGCGAGAATCATCATCAAGGCACTGAAGGTTCCTAGTGAGATGGCCATGGTAGCCCAACTCAGAGCCTCCCGAATATACCCGGCATACAGAGGCCCAGCCAGTGTTCCAGCAGCAAATGCGGCGTTACTTAGACCGTAAGCTTGCGAAGACACCCCTCCATCCCCAAAAATCCCCGGACGTCCCCTCTCCATGTCGTCTTTCGCTAAGGTAATCTCTGTCATCATCGCAGGCATGGCAAGAGATACCCCACAACCGAAAAGGAATAAGAACAGCCGGAGCAACACTGACATTACTCCAGTCGGCTCAAGTATCAGCGAGAGCAGCATAAGGCTCGGGGTAATCAAGGAAAAGCCCAAAATCGCCGGCCAGAACGGACCCAAGCGATCCACCACAGATCCGCCCAGCGGAGAGCAGATAATAGGCAGGGTATTAGACAGAAATACAATGGCAATGTCTGTTGACCGGTAAGGGAAAATCTCAGGGAGATACACGGGCAGTACGGCCTCCAAGGCAGTCATGAACGAGTTCAGCATGAACATTCCCACCATTGCCACGAGAAACCTAGGCATGCATATCAAGTATAACAGTGCAGGCTTTCTTGGAGAGCCCGTGACAGGAGCGCGTGCCACATTTGACATTAGCGGACGCCCCTCCTCGTCGAAGAGGTCTTGCTTGACATCAATCTCATGCGACGGCGTGATGAGAAGCACCCGTAGCACAAACTCCAGTACTACAAGCACGAAGGCTGGGACAAAGACGGCGAAGTATCCCGCCAGATCATATAAAAGTCCACCCACGATGGGCCCTGCGAATAAGCCAACGCTGAGACTCATGCTCGTAAAGCCGATGGCACGTCCTATGTGTTGCTCACCAACTGTGTCCAGCATCAGACTAAAGCCGATGGTAAATACTATGGCAGTGGAGCAGCCCTGTAGAATTCGAGCGAGAAGGATCAGAGCCAATGAGCTGGTAAGTGAAAAGAGCAGTGTAGCACCCCCCATAACCACGACCCCGAGCAAAAATGGCAGCTGCTTCGTACGAGTTCGGTCGCCCATCCAGCCGAATAGCACTGTGACCATAAATCAATAAGTATGTGCATGCAGTGAGGTTCTACTGACAATGGATGCACATACATGAGCCCAGCATGATGGATGCCCCGTAACTGGCAAGTAATATGGAATTCCAACGCTGAATATCGGCATCCGAGAGACCCACGCGCTCGGCGAGGGCAAATGGCAGCATAGGCACGACTAGTCCATAGAGGAAGATATCAGTAAAAACCGCCACGCAGACCACAATGACTGCAAAAGTGGTTGATGACCGGATCTGCTTCGCCAACATGTTGCGGAGGGACAAAGCGGGAATGCAAGGCAGTGCAACACGGTCGCAGATGCTGAATTTGAGGCGCAGCATGCAGTCTATGTCCACCGACCGAGAGATATAATATTTAGGCCACTCGAGCCTAGGCTCCTGTAAGCCTGAACACCTTATCAATCCCAGAAATTCCAGCAGGACGGATGGCACGGCCCCATGGTGCGACTTCTTCAATAGTTGGAAATTGGATCAATGTCATACAATGGCTTGCGCAGAAGATACCGCGGACTCTTCACTTTACTTGCAAACTTATCAAGATATGTGATTATAGTGTTGTTCGTAAAATCTGACATCTCTTGTGTCTCCAGGCTATGCCTTGGCATGGACTGGAGGACAGAACAAAAGCAAGGAAGTCGGTTAGTTCTCTCAAACAATTAACTTAGACTACCGTGTGTCACACTAATGCGAGATTTCCGGGTCTGTAGTTGTGGCTCATTCCGTATATCCAGGACATTGAGACTTGCAGTTCCGGTGGCAATGGTTCAATCACGTCCATCAGGACACTCCGCCCGTACTTCCTGCCTATGTCGTGGCACAAGTAGTCATTGTATTTGGCAGCTAAAGAGATTTGGTTTATTCTGTATGGAAACACATATTCGGGTCCGAAAAGTTACACCACATCAATGACGCTTCTTGTAGTCAGGATATACCCCCGATTGTTGGTAGTCATCCAGCCGTGCTCTGCAGGGATATGGTTTCAGTATCTCGAATATGAAGACCCGTTCTAACGCACGGCAAACCCAGCAATAACTGTCAGCATCTCAATCTGCTCTGGACCGTCTAATAGCTGCTTCTCCGAAAATGTTGAATACATCTGGAGGAGCCAAGGACGACTATGGTGGTGCTCAAGGGCATTGGTATCGGCCCATCTGTGTAACTGGTCAACTAATTATCCTACAGAGACCTAAACCAGGCCCGTACGATACATGCCTTTCGATGACTTTGAACTCTAAGGTACCATCTACTCGATGATGTTCTGTTAATAGAAATGCCATGCACGATGGTTCTACCTGCTCCACAAGACGTGCCGTGTCGCAAAGGAGGTGTCTGAGCTGATATATCAGTGAATATCAGTGCATTATGAAGAATGCCCGACAAAGCGTGTGGTGAGGGGCGCATACCTCAGTCTCTTTACCATGGGCCGGTCGCAGGGTGGCAATAAGTTGGACTTCAGCCATGACTCACTTCAGTTGCTGGCAGGACCAGCATGTTAGCGAGAGGGAGTTTGGGATTTTATCTCGTTTTCTTGTACACCCTTGTCGTAGTTTCCGTTGTCTAGCTCGAGTTATTCATGCAATTGGCGCTGGAAATTGACCGTGTTTGCAGATCCATGAGGATCGCAACGCCCAACGCCCACCTTGAACATCTACATACTCCTGGTGGAATATCCCTACTGTGTTGAGCCTTGCTAGTTCCTGGGCTCACATATTCAGCAAAGCGGAGCGGCTTCCTTTGAGGGATAATTACTTGTTCTTTTAATCTTGACTGGACGATACGAGCATTGTTGGTATGTACATCCTTGTGCATGTCGATCCAGATACCGACATTGATGAGTGAATATCGAACAGTGATATATCTATCTTGGCCATCATTTACTGGGGTAGCAGTGGAGAATATGGTCTGCCTGTCAGGCTGACTAGGAAATTCCCGCTGGCTCCAAGGCTCGGTACATACAGGTGTCATTGATTATGCCGCGTAGGTTACGCTGACTGCATAAGAACATACCAGAACTACTGTCTTTCTGTACACATGGACAACAAAGCGACAGTGAGCACTGCAAATTCGAGTCCAGCTTTGGTCATGCGGGGCATAAATCTGGAACACGACGTATACTTCAGGTCATAGTTTGAGATTCAAATGACTATTTGCGGAGACCTGAAGGTGATGCGGAGCAGTGCCAAAACTGCTCAATAGGCTATGTCGTTTGCTGTGGGATTCAAAGCGATAGATAGATCTCCGCTCGTGGCACACCCCAATAGCCTACCTTACCGCTGGCTTTTCAGTTCAATCCGCGACAATTGTGACTTGGGAACTATTTCGGACCGTACGGAACAAGAGTACAACCACACCCACAAGTGTCTGAACTTCGAAGGCGCAGAGGCGTCGACATGGTGACGAAGGTATCCCGCTCCCCAAGATTGAAACAAAGAAAAGCAAACTTTATGTTAGATTCCTTCAACTGACAGAAGAGACCAGTGCTCATTATCCTATAGTTGTGTTTCGAGGCTACTGTTCAATTTATAGATGATCGAAACCTCTGTGCAAGAATTGTAGTGCTAATGTGCAATCATTACACAAATTCGGCGGCACGATGACTGTCCAACAGCTAGGACTTGGAAGCAATGGCTCAGAAGATGAGGATGCTATGAGAAGTGTGAAGACCATCTTGGTTACTGGGGGCGCAGGATTTATGTGAGTCTATTACCGGACCATGATCATGCGGATGTCGAGACATCGATAGGTGAACTAACATTGCATTTTCAGTGGGGGGTGGTTCATTCGGCACCTCCTTCAGGTATACGGAACGAAGTATACGATACTCTGCTTTGATGTCCTCGATTATTGCGCGTCCAAGTGCAACATACACCCCGTCGAGCATCTTCCCAACTTCCACTTTCTTGCAGGCGATCTGTGCGACCCCGACAGTGTAACAGCTGTCTTCCAGCAATTCACAGTGGATGCCATTGTCCACTTCGCAGCGAATTCTCATGTGGATCAGTCTTTAGTTAACCCCGTCTCTTTCACTCGGAACAACGTGACTGGGACCCACGTTCTTCTGGAAGCAGCACGACAGGCCGGGACGGTCATACGGTTTATCCACGTCTCTACTGACGAGGTATACGGAGAAAATCGGCCAAACCAGGACTATGCCTTTACCGAGGAAGATCGGCTGAACCCGACTAATCCATACTCAGCTAGCAAAGCCGCTGCTGAGATGGTCGCCAATGCCTATCGATATTCTTTCCATATGCCCATCATAATAACTCGCTGCAACAATGTTTTCGGTCCCTGTCAGTACCCCGAGAGTAAGAGCTCCTCGATGGCTTTTAGAGGGCTGCGGATTCCTGACGTATTTTTTCATAGAACTCATCCCCAAATTTGCAATGCAAATGCTGCGTTCCCAGCGTATGACTTTACATGGTGAGAGAAACGCAGTTCGTGGGTTTGTCTTCGCCAGCGATGTCGTGAACGCTTTCGATCTCATTCTTCATCGAGGTCTTGTATCCGAGACCTACAATATCTCCTCCAAGGAACAGATTCAAGTCAAAGAGGTTGCGAAACGAATTATACGGTGGTTTCATGCGGGTCCGAGCGATGCGTGCGAACAGTACCTCGAGACAGTGACTGATAGGCCTTTCAATGACCGGATGTATTGGACCGATGACTCCAAGCTCCGGCAATTAGGGTGGGCAGAGAAAGTTTCGTTTGATGATGCACTTACAATGACGCTAGAATGGTATCGTGACCATGGCGAAACATTTTGGTCTGAGAGAGGCCCAGCCTGTAAATTGAATGGGGGTCCGGGGTAATCCTACTTATTCAAGTTGTTATCATCGAGTTGCTTGCGTTTCAGGTGAGGTTAAGACCCATATATGAGGGTATTACTGCCATCATATAACCGATCTCTGGAGTCCACTCTTGCTAGACAGAATACAGTAACGTTATATTCTTATTGAACGGCCATACACCTCTTGTAATTGTGACATTTCCCTCTCTTAGCTGTTGACTCTCCGAATCTTAACCACGAAACAACTTCACCTCTCAGGTCAGCAAGTGCACATGTTAGTGCTTACTCCATGGATCATCCTGGCGTTGTTGGTAAGGACATTAAATGTCAGCACAGAACTCCCTACAGGTTCGATCATCAAAGTGCAAGAAAGGACATTTCTTTGATTAGGACATAAAAACCGTCTGGACTAGCCCAACTAATGGGTTTCCAAGTCTTGATTCACAAAAGCGATAGCCCTCACCAGAAATGAGCTTCGGAGACTCGCCGAAAAGCAGTGCAGAGTTTCCCAGGGGGCGGATAAGAGCCGACGCCCGGAGAATTCAAGCAGGCCCACCACAGCCTCAAATAACCGTCATCGTCAACCGATTCAGCTTCTGGCTTTTCCAACAAACTACTACCATGTTTGCCTCAAAAGCTGTCAGAAAGTCTATTCAGGCCATCTGTGCTTTTAGCACAAAGGCCCCGACCGTGGCCGTTCTCCACCAGGCTATTGACCCACCCGTGATCAATGGCGTCACAAAGCCTCGCAAGCCGGGTGGTAAGCCCTCAGTACCCTCATAGACATGCTTATAGCTGAATCCGTCCCAGGCTATCAGGATTCCGGCGCGGACATTCTTATACGCTTCGACAGAAGGGCGTGAAGGTCATAAAGTCGGATCCTTCGGCCCCAGTCTCCTCCCATGTAGGCTGGGCGTTCCCGGACACGGAGGGGGGAATTTACAGCGCGGCCCAGCAGGGCGCCACGCATTTCTGGGCTAACGCTATTCTTTTTACCTCACACCCACTTCAAACATCCCCGGAAGTAACACCGGTGGCCTCTGAGATCTATGTAGTGGGTCAGCCGCCAGGCCTGGTTGAAAACTTTGATGACAAGGCCTATCTAAACGATAAACCACGGGAGCTTGGAGGCTACACCCTACCAAAGTCCTGGCTGGTGAGTCCTAAAAATATCAGTGAAATTATCAACCATATCGACCGGTACCCAATTGTCGGCAAGCCTGTTCGAGGACGCGGTAGCCATGGAGTGAAAGTGTGTCATGATAAGGGCCAGCAACAGCAACATGTCCAGACTCTCCTTCGTGAATCGCCACTAATCATGATTGAGAAGTTTCTCTCTGGTGAAGAGGCAACTATCACCGTCATGCCTCCAGCTATAGAGCATCCCCAGCACTGGAGCATGCTTCCCGTCACGCGCTTCAACTATGCCGAAGGCATCGCCCCTTATAATGGTGTGGTCGCCGTGACATCTAATTCCCGGGTCGTCTCGCGAAGCGAACTCAAAGACCCCGCTTACAGGAAAGGTGATGCGTGAATGCGAGAGCGTCGCTGCTCTCATTGGTGCTAAGGCACCGATTCGCGTCGACGTCCGCCGGTTTGCAGAAGGGTCGGATGTTGCCCTGTTCGATATAAACATGAAGCCGGTAAGACATCGATTCCGACCAGTCGCGTTGATGAGAGACTCAAGGAGTATAGAACATGACAGGTCCCGGCCGACCAGGACGTCTAGATCAGACGAGTCTCACTGCTATTGCTGCGTCTGCGATTGGGTGGAATTACGGCACGTTACTGGGCAACATCCTGAAAGGAGTGCAGCCGTTGAATGTATTTAGAAACTACAGTAGTCCTTTTTAGACAAGATATCTATGTCTAATATTTCCAGCTTTTGCTCATCCTGTGGTGTATATTACTAACAATGTATGGCACATTGAATGTAACATCTACGTGGTCATGGGACATGATGCATTACTGCATTGACGAAGACAGAGCCACTTTTGAGTAGGACATCGTTGTTATCGGACATAATAACTTAGAAAATATGCTTTGGGTCTCATTGCCACATAGCTCAAGGAAGCGGTCGAGCGCTGCATTAATATTCCATTACTTGGACCGCTTCATAAAGTAGACTAAGCATTAGCTAGCAGCAGGAACACAATATTGATCAACAGGTTCCTGTCACAGCCCATCCCTGCCACAATGTCTCATATCATGACTCCATGTCGGTCCACCCCCACAACCTTCTTGGATTATCCACAAACAACCTCCTCACCTGCGCCTGCGTTCCGGCCCACTCAAGGGTCTGTTGCAGAATAGCCTGATCGTCGACGTCCCTAAAGTCCTGCTCAACCAATCTCCCACCAGCCCCATTCCCCTCTTTACTCGCCGTATGCGGCCAGTCGCTGCCAAAAACAACCATGTCGGGTCCATGCAGCATAAATGTCTCCGCGATAACCCGCAGATCACTATACAGCGGCTTGTCCCGGGAGTTCTGGTATGGCGCCGAGATCTTAACGAAAAGGTGGTTTCGTCGCATGAGGTCCACCACTTCGCGGAAACCGGGGATGCTGAAAGGATCGATCGCATTGTGTAGATTGCCCGTACGGGAAGCTGTCATCGCATGGGCATAGTGGTCCGCTACGACGCGTACCCCCAGGGTTGGAATTATGGGGTGAAGAGACTTGAAGGAGGCGATGGGGACCCATAATTGCAGGGTCCAGTCGTGAATCTGCGCGATCGACGCCGCGCGAATGGTATCTGCGGTAATTTGTGCGTCTGTTCCTTCGTTGCCATAATTAATGCGGATTCCGCGTACGCCGGCATCATGAAATGTTTGAAGGGTATTGTTATCAATTTTTGCCGAGAGGTCCAAGACGCAGACGCCGCGATAAGTACCGTTGGTGGAGCGTAGGGCGTCGATAAGGACGCTATTATTGGTTCCATATACGCTGGGTAAGACAATGACGGCATGCTGAATGCCGACGGAGCGTTCAAATGCCAGGGCCTGTTCGCGAGTCGCAGCTTTGGGAGTGTAGTCTACCAAGGCAAGTCGGTCAAATCTGGGCTTGCGGTTTTGAAAACAGTCAACAGCGCGCACCTCTATCTGGACTGAGGGGGAACTTGTCGGATTCAATGACATGAATATGAGAGTCCCTATCTTCGAGTCAACATCAGAGTAAATCGTTGGTGGCCACGATCCGGGGGAATAACCAGGCATGTTTCGGGACTGTTAGCCCAGCTTTAGCCTTGACGATTGTCATGCTGACGAGAAGAAGCAACTGTTAATGTTAGTGGAGCCAATCACTGTACGTAACGGACGCACTGTCTGTAGAAGGGCGAAGCCAGCAAACTTGAAACCCATAGTTGCAAAGAAACTGAAGACACCAGCAGCTACCGGCAGTCCACCAAGCTGCCATTTTTAAAGTGTATTTTGATGATTTCCCCAGATATCAGATCAAAGCATCTCCACCCTTACCCCGCAAATATCTGTGCTGGGAGTTCGGCAGTGTAGGTTTTGTTCGAGCATTGAAGACTGCTAGGTGGTCTATCGGATCTATCCGAAGCTGGCGGAATGGTATTTAGATTTAGAGTCTAAGTACTTGTTATTAGAATTACGAACGGACCAATGCCGAAACTAACTACTAGTTAGTATTTATATATTTTGAAGCGCACCTCGGCTCGGCTGCCAGCCGAAATTGACTACTAGGCTGTCTTTCCCCGCCCTGTCCCCCGATCAACTTGTTGCCTTCGCTGACAACGAATATACCCGATTTCTGCCCGTCCTTCCTTCGGCCCCGAGACCTCAGTATTGTGCTGTAGCCAGATATCCCAGGATGGAGCAGAGGAGCCTACTATCGTATCCAGACGCATCGGTCCGCCCTTCTACAAATACATCCTCTAAGATGCGGACCCAAACTGCCCTGACTCGGCATAAACGGCGTCCTTCGGCATGTGTCCGCTGCCGACGGCGAAAGGTCCGCTGCGATGGCGCCGTACCCGCATGCTCGAATTGCGCGAAAGCCGGTGTGGACTGTTTGGAAGGGAGAGCTGCGTCTGCTGTGTCCAGAAGGTGGCTTTCCTCCCTGGTGTTATGTTATCTGCTAATATCCATTGATTTGCTAGTCGATTATACTATCTGGAACGGCGGGTTCGAGAGCTGGAAAGACTGGAGGCATCGCCCTTGCGCGACAATCCTGATAATGCTGAGAGTACCGACAATAGCCTAAGCGCTCGTGATCAAAATGCGTTATTTGATGCGCACAATGCAAGTCCAACACCGGCCCCTGTTGTCGCCGACCATCATGGCATTCACATGGGTCAAGACAACCGCAGCCCTGCTGTGCCGTCACCAGCCGTTTCGGGCTCGACCCAGATTACTCGCAACCAGCCCCTGGCCCATGAAGTTGGCCTTCTGTCGCTCGCCAACAATACGGAACCTAAATATCTAGGCCCATCGTCTGGTATTTCTTTTGCTCGGCTTATTTATGAAAGCGCACCGCAATCACAAGGCCTCCCACTGTCGCTACTTGAAGGCCAAGGCACGCATAAAGAGCCTCGCGTGCTTCCTCCTACAGTGACGGGACGAGCGCTGAGCTCAGATGCATCTAGCATTCCGCCCATCCCCCTACCCTCTCCGGCAGAATGCCAGCAATACGCCGAGGCTTACTTTGAGGGCACATATCTCTATCCTTTCATGTCACAGCAAGGGCTCTATCAGCTCCTAAGCCAGATTCGGAAGTATAATGAATCTTCTACATGGAACCATGCGCTTCCGATCAGATTAGCTGCGGCGCAAGTGGGACTTGTTCTTTCCTTGGGTGCACGGTTCCTTGAAGTACGCCTAGGGTCCAATTTTGATTCCAGTGACCTTTTCGTCTCTGCCATGACTCACAGTTCCCAGATCTGCCTTCAGGATAGCGTGGAGGGTGTGCAAGTTCTGTTACTGATGGTTCTTCACAGCTTCTATAGTCCAGAGGGTCTGAATGCTTGGTATCTGCTCCACACTATCATTGCAAGCTGTCTGGACCTTGGACTTCAACGGCGGCATGAATGTGAGTTGACGCAATAAGATGTGAACGCCCCAATTTCTGACATTGTCTTCAAGATGTGGCAGAGTCGAATTCGCCGACATACCGTCAGGCAGCACAAAGACGTAGCGCCATCTTCTGGTCAGCCTACTCAATGGATCGAACACTAACCACTATCCTCGGTCGTCCACTGACTCTCAGAGATGAGGCCATTGATCAGCCATTCCCAGGCCTGGATGCAAGTGATGAAGTTGAAGAAGCAGCAACCCGGTGGGATAGTGCAAGAATTACGCACCATCCGTACGAGCAGATACCGTCGACATATCTAGCATTTATTTACTCCTTACGATTTGACCGAATCACTGCCGAGATCAAGCTCATGATATACCGCGTTTCTCGCTCACCACGCCGCTTTCCCTGGCCATCAAACATATCCGCCTGGCAACGGGAGACGGATCAAGCCTGCAAGAATCTCCTAACTGAAGTCTACACTCAGCAGCGTGGGATTTCCGTGTGCGGTCCTAGCTCACTATCTGGAACTATCGTGCAACGATTGGAGATCAAATTCCACCAGTGCATCATGCTTCTCTACCGACCCAGTCCTCAACTGCCATATCCGACATTCGCAGCCATAGAGGCTTGTTTTGGTAGCGCAATGAAGATAATCCAGATCAACACGGAGCTTCACCGCTTCAGGAACATGGAGTTGTCGTGGCTCTCTGCCCACACTATCTTTGTCGCTGCCATTACAGTTCTGTACTGCCTCTGGGCCTACCCAGCGGTGAGAGATCTGACGCCAGCGACCGTTCCATTATCCCGTGTAGACTCCGCCTTGGAGCTCCTTACCTTCCTTAAACGGCGGTGGTCAGTAGCGGAGGAGCCATGCGAAAAGCTCTCACGACTGATTGCCCTAACCAACGAAACTATGCGCGAGACCGCTGAGAACCAAAGGGGATCTGCGACTGCGGATGACATTACAACGCATCCAACCGCCGGAACACAGCTTGGAAATGGGGATAGCATGGTGCCACAAGAGGACGGTAGATCGCTGCTGATAGATGAATTGGGCATCCTGCGAGATTTGTTTGACCTCGGCTGGCTCAGTGATTGGGGCTCGGATCCTACCCAGCCACCAGTTTGGGATACTTCCGAGCTTATGATGGGCTTTGATAGTTAGGGTAACTTTGCCGGAGGGGGTCTTGGAGAATGAGCTGATACCCACAATATCGTCGAAAATATCATTGATGTAGATCGAATAAGTGCTTCCCTTTATGTAGATCAAGGGTAGATATATCTATAGCCTGCTAGACTGTTTCATTATTGCCTTGACAAGTTCATCGAGGCACACCCAGGTAGTCCGCTTAGGCCGAGCCTCTCCCGTGAGACGGCAAACCCCCGAAGGCCGTCGGATCAGCCGATAACGCCGATATCGCTCGTTCACGACGCCAAAAAACCGCTTAAAGGCAACTAAATGCACTTCAGCGACCTCAGCCAGACATCATCTTCACCGACTACTATTGGGCTTGTCTCAAAAATGACTCCTACGAGCAATTCACAAGATATCATCGAGCGTCTTAAGCAATGGGGCGCTTGCGACGTAAGACCATGACCATGCAGAGACCCAACACATTGGTACTTTTTGGTCTGCTCGTGATCGTTGCTAATTCACACTAGGTTGCCGATGGCCTCAGCAAACTCAAACACCCACAGGGAGGCTTCCTCGAAGGCCTGACCCTGTATTCACCAGATTACCAAGCTGGAGAGACCAAGATCGTTGGCCAAGCATTCACGGTGAAATTCGTGCCAAAGGATGACGAAGCTGCGCCGAGACTCAGTGGGAACTATGTACGTGACGTCTCTTTTCTGGGCATGCAAACACACAGCTCTGTTTTGGCTGACTGCTTTCTATGAGGTAGATTGATATGGTCCCACCCGGAGTTGTGATTGTGATATCCCAGCCCCTGCCGCAGGTAAACGCCGTCTATGGTGGGCTGATGACCCTGCGGGCACAGGCGGTAGGTGCAGCGGGGGTAGTGATTGACGGACGTGTACGAGATTTAGGAGAGCACCGAGCGCTAAAATTTCCTGTATGTCATATTTCTTCTGCTTCCTCATGAGCCATCATGGCGAAACACGTTGGCGCTCTGGCTCCAACAACACTACTAACAGCTACGTTAAATGGTACAGCTGTTCGCCAGATATGCCGGCACGACAGCTGGTGGGGCAGTCTGTCGGCCTTCTGAAGTAAACGTTCCCGTGCGGCTGCACTCTGAACATCAGGAGGCTTGGATCAACCCGGGTGATTATATTGTGGCCGATTTGAATGGAGTTGTGCGTGTGCCAAGGGAGACGGTGGAGGAGGTGCTTGATGTTATTCCAGAAATTGTGGAGGCCGATCGGAAGTGTGCAGAGGGAATTAGGGCGGGAAGGAGTGTACAAGATGTGTTCAAGGAGTTTAGGGGGCGGTAAGGGTAGTTGATAGGTGACATAAAGCGTGGATGCATTAGCCTAGCTATCCGGTCCTTCGCGTCTGATAGTATATCCGTCCATGAAGAGGCAGCTTTAGCAAGGGAGATCTAATAAAAGCTGATTTGTCTCGTTTCGTCTGATTGTAACTAGTAGTTTGATTAAGCAAAGGATACGTTCTTCAATGGCTCCGAGGACCAAATATATATCTGAATTGACTGTGGCTAATCAGGGAACACACATCGAAATAGAAAAATGACATTGCCAGAAAGCAGTGAATACAAAGCAGCATAAAGGTGAGTGAAGAGCAGTGACTCATCCGGTCCTCAAAATGCGCTAGCTTTTGGGTAGGCTAGGCAATGTATCGGAACCCCTCCCTTCGCGCAATGCGCTCTTCATCAGAGACACCAGCAATCTCTCTCTGGCTGTGACCTCTCATCTCCTCCGTCACGGTTGACTCCCCCATATCGATGCGACGATTAGCGCGAAGGAGAACGAATCGCATGAATAGCGCTAGCACAATCGCACCAAGTGAGAAGGCTGAGTTCGCTGCCATGGCGGTCACGTACCGCGGAGCGGAGCTGTCGGGGTAGAAGTACGAGGAGAAGATCTGCAAAAGCACTGTTGGCATGGTAATCCTTTTATTTGATTCGTTCGCTGAAGGTAAGGAAGTTGGTATGTACTTGCGAAAGGTTCCCAAATGCATTAACAAATGCCACAGCCGAGGCCCGCTTAATTCTAGGCCTAAGCATTGTTTTCTGTGTCCAGGCCAGCACGACAGCGTTCGAGCCATGCCCCCCGGCTACCATCAAAATCATGGCGAAATACCTCGCGCCCGTATTGAGCGTAGCGGCCGCAATAATGAAACCGGCAATCGCAACTGAAAGTGGCCAGATAGCGTGAAAGGACGAATTGCGAAGCCGATCAGCAGACCAATTATTAGCTATAGAGATGACTAGGGCTACCATGTACGGTGGCACAGTAAGCAGCAAGGTGTTAACAGTGCTAAACCCTAGCGTCTTAACGACAGCGGGAAAAAAGTTAGACGTCGCACTCGCGACTTGGATGCAAAGAAAAATGAGCGCGAAGGCGTACAGCCGCCAGTCGCTAAAAGCCATCTGGAACCCGTAGCTCCAGCGTTCATCATCTTCGTCAACCTGACCGGCATCCGCAATTAGGCGCCATTCGGCGACGGCGCGCTCTTCCTGGGTTAGCCAGGGGGTATTCGAGGGGTAGTTTAATAAAGATGGTTGCTGAGCCCTCAATAATAAAGATCCAGCGCCATGACTCGAGCCCTCGGGCCCCGTCTAGACCGCTCGTAATCCCGGCACCGATAAGGCCGGAGAATGCGCTTCCCAGCTGGGAGCCGGAGAAGAGGAAGGCGCTGCGGACACCCATCTCGGAACGCTTATACCAGGATGAGATGAGGAAGAGCGCGCCGGCTGTTAGAGTCATGTCAGGAGTGTCGCACAGGAGGGGGTTGGCAGCTTACGATAAAACGCTGCCTCAACGAACCCAAGCAGGAACCGGAGGGCATACAACCCGGCTGCGTTGTGGACGACTCCTACCAGCGCAGAGAGCATGCCCCAGATGACCATAACGGACGGGATGTAGAGTGAAGGGCGTAAGTTGGCCAAGAAAATATTGGATGGAATTTGCATCAGCACGTAACCAGCGAAAAGCAAAGCCACGGCGGTAGCATAGTGCGTGCTGCTTAGGCCAAGGGAGCCCTCGATGCCGGCTATCTTTGCGGCTGATATGTTGTTCTACACCACGTAAGTCGTTTTATCATGAGGGCCCCATCAAAGGTGCACAGGGAGGGGGAAATTACTCGATCCAGGTAGTTCATCACGAAAATAACCCAAACACAGAGCAAAAGACGCAAATCAAGCTTCTTCTTCAGCTTCCTCTCTGCCAGGGCAAACTGCTCGGGGGTCATTATTCGCGCAGGCGTTAGTCGATCAGGCTCGACACCACCTTTGCCTGAACTGACAAACTCGGTATGCTCGACGGATTTGTGGTCCATGGTGTGGCGACTACGTAAGTAACTGATGAGTCCAAGCAGAAGTTGTCGTATCTGTTGAAATGAGACAGTACTGGACAAATTATCATTGCGGCAGCTTCAATACATGGGATACCCATCATCAAGTATACCCTTTCCCCACGGGGATGCCAAGCAGTCAAACCCCACGGGGAAAGCACTTCAACCCCGCTGAAGCAGTGCTTGGCTGAGACTAGTCTTGACACGGTTTGCTAGTACTCTGAACTGTAATGCCGGCCAGGCCTTCGGATAGCAGCCATAACAGTCGTAAGGGGCGCTTCGGGGAAGGAGGCGAACGGCAAAATGCCGAAGAGATGAGGTTGCCTTCTCCCACCCCGTGAACGGTTAGAAGCCGGGACATGTCGTTCTGTATTAGTACACTCAATGTCCATATAAGATTGTTTGTTATTGGCCGGTTCTACTCTAGATATCTTTCAATCTTCCAAAGCCAGAGAATAGCACCTACGGTATCTGCAATTAGAGCGAAATGACAATCGTGCACATGGGTACATTGGTTCTCTTCCATTCGCGCCATGACAAGCTAACAAACTTGTTTGATGTTAGTAATGTTCAAGTTCCGCTCCGATGTAACTGCGGCGCATAAAGAGACCTTCGCTCGAGAACTCAAGAAGCTCAAAAATCTGGACTGCGTGAAAGAACATCGACTAGTTGTGGGAGGACCATCAATGACCGACCCCATTGAACGAAGTAAGGGGTTCGAGTTTGCGCTTCTGAGCTTTCATGAGTCTCTTGCAGACCTTGAGAAGTATCAGGCAAGCAAGGAACACCACTGGTGAGCGGCAACCTAATCATTGTCTAGGAAGCTGCTAATATGATCGTTGTGCGAAGGGTTACAAGCACGTATATGTTCCCATACAAGGAGGATCTGGTCCGATTTGACTTTGAGGTTCCGCCGGAAGACGAGTACATGTTTTTGTTCTCACAGTAAAAGAATTCCATAGATAGTTGCCGCTGAGAGATATGTGAAGAGGGCGAATTTGGACGTATTGCACTTTGTTCCATTCAATGAATACCGTTAAAGATCCGTGTGGGGTGTGTCGGCGTTTAACCGACCTAACCCCCTCATCCGATTATCGGAACATCAGACCCTGGCAGCTCTATAAATCTACTCCCACAGACGCCGAAAGGTTTTGCACATAGCTAACCATTTCTTTCCTCTCATCATCAAGATGACCACCGCTATACAGTCGCGTTATTACGCCGATCCAGAAAAGGCAAAGGAGTTTGCGGCTGCGCTCCTCGTCAAAGCAGGCCTCGAGTCCGAAGACGCACGCTCAATGGCAGAGTGTTTAGTCTTGGCCGATGTCCGCGGTGTCGTAAGAATCCCAAAGTACTTTATCTCTAGTATTACCTAACAGATGATAGGATACCCACGGTCTTGCAAGGCTTCCGCAGTACCTTGATCGCGTTAGCAACGGTCGGGTCAACGCCCGGCCAAGCATCAAAATCACCGACAAAACCCCCGTAGTTGCACACCTGGACGGCGATAATGGCTTCGGCTTCGTCGTCGCAACTCGCGGTATGGATGAAGCTATCAAGCGTGCAGAAATCTATGGCATCGGAATGGTAACGGTCAATCACTCTAATCATTTTGGCATGGCGGCAACATACGTCCTACAAGCACTCAAGGCAAATATGATCTCGCTTGTCTTCACCAATTCCGCGAAGCAGATGCCCCCTTTCGGAGGAAAAGAAACGCTGCTCGGTATCTCGCCGTTTGCGGCCGGTGCTCCTTCAAACGCCGAGGTGCCATATATTCTTGACATGGCGCCCTCTGTTGTTGCGAAGGGAAAGATCCGACGCGCCGCACGCCGTGGTGAGCCTATCCCTCCGGGATGGGCCCTAGATGCAAATGGGAACCCAACGACGGACGCAAATGTCGCGTTAAACGGCAGCATGGCGCCCATCGGAGGGCCGAAGGGATCCGGTATTGCAATTCTTATGGACATTATGTCGGGCGTTTTGGCAGGCGCCGAGTTTGGCGGACAGGTTGGGGACCAGTATAAGGATTCGAAGCCCCAGAATGTAGGCCACTGCTTTATTGCTGTCAAGCCCGATGTCATCATGAGCACGGACGATTTCAAAGCTCGAATGGATACACTTGTGCAACGTGTGCACGGGGTTAGTCCAGCGCCCGGATTTTCGGAGGTGCTGTTTCCTGGAGAGCCCGAGCACCGCTTGGGGCTGCAGAGGCGGGCTGAGGGTATTCCTTATGCGGATGCGGAGAAGACTCTTTTCGCTGATGCCGCAAAGCAGTATGGTGTCCCAGAACTACTGTTGTCAGATTTTCCGCTATCATTAAGTTGATATCATGGAAGACCAAAATACAATGTATAGGCGTACAGCAATGGTCTCTTTGAGAAACATACAATGAGTTGTTCAGAGTCTCGTGACGTCCGCTTAATTTTATTCAAACTCACTTATATACTTCAATGCTTGATTAACTTGATTCATACATACGAATACTATAATCTAGGATAGTACGTTGGATTATAGAAATGTTTCATCAACTTTAGTTGTGATAATCTAAGACCAGCTTATTCTATTCGGTGGTGATCATAATTGTCAAATATGTATAATAAACTGCACCTCATACCATCGGAGACGTTAAGCAATCCGTCCCTGTTTACTCGTTCATACCAAGACCTTAATAAATCAGAAAGTCATGGTCGTTGCCAGCTTCTCACATGTTTAGTGTCCTGAGACCGTTTGTTCAGCGACTGTTTGTATGCACTTCTTTCTTACTTAATGGAAGGCGTCCATTTCCGGGCAGCTACATCAGAGTGTTGTAGAATCTGCGCAGTCGAGCTTGCTGGGATGCTCATACTCGTGATTCGTTCTTTTCCATAAACTGCTATGTCACAAATGTGGTCATTAACCCCACCCTCGGTCGGCTATGGCCGGGCCAATCCATCGGACCGCTACCGAAGACTTCGGTTAGATCCGTCTTTCCCGCGTCTTCATCGCCTCGCCAGTCGACTCGTTTTATCAGCTAACTACTTGTCTTTGGGCGGGTATTGAGTAAAACGTGAACACTTTGTTGATCAATATGTCAAAAAATCAGAATGCTTACTCACACACCACTGGTGTCCATTCATTCTGTCTGTACATATAATCATTAATCTTTCGTAAGGGAAATCTCAAATCGGATTACGTTCTGGAGTATCCACTCGATGCATGCATTCTTGACAGCTAAAGCCGGGAAGCATCCACACTGATGCCACGCTCTCTATGACCACTCAAGCAAAATCAAGCCTTACCTGCCGAGCCAAACAACTTCATCACCCTTTCCACCGACTCGGCGTAGATCTCGACTGCCCGCGCCTTGAGCACAGTCAACTCCAGCTTTCCCGCATGCTCCGCCACAAACGCCGTGTAGTTGTCGCGCACCGTCCGGTTAACATTCACCTTGCTCATGCCGCACTCAATTGCCTTAAGGAAAAGCTCGTCGGAGACCGGATGTGTACCATGCAAGACAAGCGGAGTGGACGGTACAGCCTCTTCGATCTGTTGGAGCCTGCACAGTATGAATATAGTCAGTGCCCCTTTCATTTACACGACCTAATCACATGGAGAAATGAAGGGTAGCCTACAGCTCCAAATCCCAACATCCCTCCGCTCCTACAACCCCGTAGCCCCCATGCACGTTCCCAAAGCTGGGCGCCAAAAAGTCTGCCTGAGTCGCCTCCAGGAACTCCCGTGCATCGCCAGGGCTCGTCATCACACTGCCCAGATCCATGTTCGGAAGGCCATCTTCCCCACCCTCAATCCGCCCTAATTCAACCTCGACCGCCATACCGCGCTCATGCGCCCTGGCTACCGTGCTCGCGCAGACCGCGACATTCTCAGCCTCATCCATGCTGGACCCATCGATCATTATCGAGTCAAAGGGGAGTGTGAGAGCGAAATCGATGTCCGCGGGTTCGATGCAGTGGTCTAGATGCACGGCGATGGGGACGGAAGCGGCATGCGCGGCAGTGACGACGAAGCGGATGAAGTGTTCGCCCTGGAAGTGCATAGTCCAGGGGAAAAGTTGGATTATGGCGGGGCTGTGCGCGCGCTCGGCGGCGCGGATGACCGCCATGATGCCGTCGGTGTTATAGCTTTTGTTAATTCGTCAGGTCTCGTAGTGGGAGAGGATTGGGCTGGAAGACAGATTCACGGGGGAAATATGTACCAGTTGTAGGCGCCGACAGCGTATTTGCCAATCTTTGCGGCATGGAGGATGGATCGCGTACGGTTAGTGTGGTAAGATTGAGGGTATGTGGACATTTTGAGGTTCCAATTCCTGTTAAACGAAGAGGTTCCTTTTGGAGATTTGAGGCAGTAGTCACTGTTTAAAATTAAAATACAATGCGTCACCTAGCTCAATCCCGACGGATTTGCCTCCGAGGACAGCTCCGTCAACGGGGGATTCCGAGCGCATCTTTACCGAGTCCGACCGGTTGCCGCGTTCAGTGGCCCTCCTATCCTAGTTATCATATATCCAGTTAAACATTATCTGCAGATTGCTAACTTGTCATGGATAGTATCAAGGGAAACGGTAAGAAGAGTGGCTTCTTCAAGAGGAGCCGGGCAGCCCTGTGTAGATAGGGGAGTTGTATCTGAGACGGAGTTGCTTAGTATGATTTTTATATCATGATCTAGTGAATCATTTAGGAAATGGATAATGTAGTGTCTTGAAAGGGTCGTGTTCAGGCTGAGAGCTTTCTCGGTAGTTGAGTCCACAGTAGTAGGCCCGGATATAATAGTAACTCGTCTATGAATTTGTATTAGACACCATCATACGTGGGAAACTTGAGGCGGCCATGCCTTTAAACGGGATCAGATTGACTCAATTCCAAGCAGTTCCCGCAAAGTATATGCAGATATAGTACTAGGGTGTAAAAGTAGTATCAGAGGTATTCCATATTACCTGTGCTGAGATGGTTCGGTGTGGGATGGACCTGCGGTTTAGTTGCATGCCGGTCAATATATTCCTTACACTCTATATATAAGGTTATTGTTTGATTTAAAAATTCAAATGTCCTATCAATATGTAACCTCCATCCCTAATAGGTATCGGGGTTGTATTATACGCGTGTTTCAGATCAATTTGTGTCATCGCGGCATCAAGCGTCCAAGTCATTCAACAAAAGCTTCATGAAATATATAGAATATTCTAGAGTGGCTCATGTACTGGGAAAAATGAGGGATCAAGATTTGCAAAACTCCTTGGTTTCTATCACGCGCACTATAGAAATATTGATGGACTTGTAGTTATAGCTGCCAGTGTGCCGGTGTCATCTAAGAAGGATTATAAATTTGATTTTCCACAACAGAAACGGTGAGAGAGTCTGGCGGAAAACTGCCGAAGGAAGAAAAAAAAGAGAAATTAAAGTAATAAATACTTAGATAAAAAGGAGATGGGGGAAATGAAAGAAGAAAAAGGTTCCGTCAAAGTAATCCAAAAGACCCTCAAAATAGTAAGCCTCTGACAGAGCGAAGAAAAACTACCATCAGGCGTATTGGCGGGGAGCTGCGGTGATCCGCGCTGATGTGAGATTCGTGCGGGGATAGCCTGCTTACGGCACAAAGTTCGTTAAATAGCCTTTGTCCTGATAGTTGATTTGTTGGTTAATCGGTTAAGTCTCCTTTTGAAAGAAGCCCAAAGCCCTGGAAGACGAGGTGGTTGAAGAGATTACAACTTCCCTCCCACGGTCATTCATGCCCAAACCCATCGACTGATCATCATGTCCTTCTTCCCTACCCCAACATCAGAGCAGAGCATGCACAAAGGCAACTGCCATTGCGGCGCTGTGAGCTTCCGCTTTTCGCTGTCTCCGCCTCTGTCCGAATATCCTGTCGTTAGCTGCAACTGCTCTATCTGCAGCAAGAATGGATACCTGCTCGTGTACCCCTCACTCAAAGACTTCACCCTTGAGAGCGGCGATGAAACAACCCGGACGCACCAGTTTGGCCGGCGTCAGGCGAAGCACGAGTTTTGTGGGACCTGTGGGAGCAGTTGTTTCATCCGGCTGGTGGCAGAGGACGCGCCCCCAATCATAGCAGTGAATGTGAGTGCATCGTTCTATCTAAAAGGCCAAAGATGATGCTAATCGATCTAGGTCCGTTTGCTGGAGGACTGTGATCTAGACAAACTGAATTACAAGAAGGTTGATGGAAGATCTTTCTAACCAGATTATACGTACCAGCTGCCACTCCACCACTCATCGTCGCTCGGAACCACTCCACTCACCGTCGGTATATGTTACCTCGTCCATCTCATACGAACAAGATACATGGGGATGAGTAAGTCGGATATAATATTGGTCATATAGGATGTTCTATGTACATTATTCTATCAATGCTTTTGTCTACACGCGTCTAGGGTATCTTTTACAACTTGACCTGAAATCGAGGGTGTGTCCTGATGCGTGCCCCGTACCGCCAGAAGAACAGCGGGCACGCACACATCACGAGCGCAATGAAGGCGAGAAGAGAATTACCCCATCCCAAGCCCAGGGCATCGTACATGGAAGGTCCGGCCAAGGGCAACAAGGCCCCAACCAGCGATCGTAGACCCGTGTTGGCGGCCGTCACCGAGGCGGCGTAGCGGAGGTAGGAGTCGACCAAATAGGTACTGGCCGACATAAAGACAGTCATCAGGCCAATGGCAAAGACACCAGTGCCTAGGATGGGGACGATCCAGTGGGTTTGGGCCTTGGCTGCCCAGCCGTACCAAAACAAGCCGATGGGGATGGCCCAACAGCCGAAGACCATGGGCGGCAAGCGTGATTCTGGGGTGAAACACCCCTTGGCCGAATGGGTGCGCGCAATGTGGTTGGAAACAGCGCCACAGATGACGAGTCCGATCAGACAGCCCACACCGAATCCCAGGTATGCCAGGCCTGCGACGCCCGGGGAGAAATGATAGACATCCTCGAAGATGGAGGTGATGGTGGTGAACATCAGGTACAAGTAGCCATAGGTGATGGCGGCAAAGAGCACCATGAGGAGAACAATGGGCGATTTGACGAGAAGCTTAATCGGGCGAGCCAAAGCGATCAGAAGCAGCTCACGCGCCTGCTGGCCATGGTCATGGACCGAACGCAGGTTGGGATTGCCCGTAGCCTTGCGTAACCGGGCCGCTTTCCGCTCCAGAATGACGGGGGCATATGTTTCGCGATACCAAATCATGCACAGAATAGTCATCACCGCAGTCTATGTCCAAGACGATCCATGTATTAGCGGGTGACGGGAGGAGGGGGGCTGGAGTGTGGACGTCTAGACTTACAGCGATCGCAATCACCCAAAACACCCAGCGCCAGCCTTCAGCTTCGGCGAGGAAGCCACCAGCTACCGGTCCTACCACGGGGCCGAGGATGGGCCCCATGGCCCAGATGGCCATGATACCGGCGCGCTTCTCCTTGGGAACCATGTCGGCCACGGTGCCTGAGCCGATGGTGAGGGGGCAAACGCCGGCGGTACCAGCCAGAAGACGAAAGACGATGAGCTGTGGCATGGTTTGGGCCACGGCGCAAGCGATGGTGAAGATGAGGAACAGGATGTTGCATGCATGATAGAGGGGCACCCGACCATAAATCTCCGAGAGCGGGGCGATGAAAAAAGGGCCGATCATATATCCCAGGACATAGACGGACACCACGAAGGAGGCGAGCATGGTACTGGTGGAATGAAAATCGATCATAACGTCCTCCACTCCGGGGGCGAACATGGAGGAAGCCAAGGGTCTACCGTGGTGGTATTAGCCATCAATACCAAGAACGTACAGCACGGAAGAGGATATGATAACCAAAATCAGAGCAGCAGCAGCGAGACATACGTGATAAAGGTGTTGAACGCCATTAGAACTAACTGGCGGCCTTTTTTCCAGCGAGGCCAGTTGAATGGGTTTTCGGGGTCATCGGGGCCATCATAATCTACGACGTTGTCTGAATGCAGTTCAGTGGGCTGCAGAATCGTGGGCGGCTGGCCCTTTTCCAAGTCAGGGTTGGCGAGGGTGGTATCGGATGCACCCATCTTGGCCCTCCTCGGTATAGTAGAAGGATTTGGAAGGAAGGTGGGAAAAGAACGGAAACAGGGGTAAGCAGACTACATCTACTGGATAGAAGGGCAATGCCCCAGATTTTATGCTAGGAGGATTTTCAGACGACTTGAGGACGAAATGGCCGCAGCCCCATCGCATGTTGACCCATGGGAGGTTATGCCGACCGTCAGGAACACTGGCAGATTAGAATAATGGCAAAGTAGTAACCGAACGGGTTATGCCACACTCCTAGTACGAGTTTCCAGAATCATTTCGGCTGTCTTCCATCCGCGGGCCAATGGGAAGGGTCAGTAGCCCCTAATACACATAAATCAGCCATCATAAATGCCCCTGCACAGGGACACTAGTAGGCTACTCTGTTTATGTCGATGCATAACTGATAGATGTCTAGCATAACACTAACGAGACTAACTAATTAAATTGATTAATTTGTTAGTTACTTAATTCCCGAGGAGCTTACGTCAGCTAGCTTCTCCTAAATGTTGCCTCTTTATCTCTAATAATCTATTCAACGTCAAGTAGAACTGGAACATACCTGCTTGTAGATGAGGCAAGATCATTCGACAATATAGTCGGGCGATATTAATCTCAAATTGGGGAGACAGGGCATGAAAACACAATGTCTTCATTCTGCACAGAAATACTTATGCCGTGCTCGGCTCTCTGGGTTTTCCTTCCCGAAAGTGGGGCGACCCACTAAATCCAAAGCAGGATTTGATAGGGGGACGAATGGGAAACCGAAAACGAGATCGAAAACGAAAAACTCACATAAATATCCAATGACCAGGTAAGCGAGGTAATACCAGTAGCCAGTCTGGATGTGCTTGTCGAGAAGGCTAGTAACACTACGGAGTAGTAGTATATCAGGTCAAACACTTTCAGACCTGGAGACTCCTTGTTTCTTTCTGTAAGAAGTCTAAGTTTAACTCATACTAGTAGTCAATGCTACTGATTACAAATATATATCCTCAACCTAGTACTCCAAAGTAATACCTCAACATTTATCCCTATGACGCCTCTAGCAATTTCAACTTATCCTAGGTATTGCTTATACAAGCAAGTAGGGCTACAACAAAATTAAGGTAACAAGATTTACAATGCCAATAAATTCTTGTAGTTTAGGACATAGAAGCGCTTTTAGTGGTGGAAGCTCTGAACAGGTTCACTGCTGTATTGTATCAGTCTGCCCACAGGACAGTGTGCAATAAACTGGCTACAAGGTAGCTCCTTGATTGTTCTCCTCTATCTAGCTGTTCTGAGGTGGATGCCGATTTCAATTTCTGCCATGTATAGAATACTTCCACCTGGAACGGACTATGGAAGTATCTAGTGAAGCGATCTGCCGCGCAGACACATCAGCGAAGAATAATCACTGACCTATTAGCCGGATACTTAACTATCGGTGTAGATAATGATGCAGACATGCTTCTGTGGGGCGATGGCGCGATGTGAGGCTCTAGCATGTGGCAGTTTTTCATCCAGACGAGTTTAAGTAAGCTTAATGCCTGGGATCGCACGGACTGATGAACTGGTTATGGAGCTTACAGACCAGGGGCGGCCAATCATGTCAATGGTTCCTGGAATATGACCTTTCCTGTATATTTCGAGCTGACTAAGGAGGTGGTTCCATGCTTAGTATTGGTATGTCAAGGACCACTTTTTTATCAGGGGACCAGAGAGACTGTCTGATGCTACCTGCTGTCAGCTTTGGGCTGGTTTGCGTTGAAAAGCAACATACGCGAAGGCTTTGTTGACCTGTAGCATGTTATGGGGATTGGAGCGGCCCTGCTATTCGGTACTTTTATTGTTGTCACTCGTGAAGTATATGTGGTTAGCACTTTCAGGAGGTTTGATCAAGAGTCATAATCTTAGCATGGACACCTAGAACGTGAATTTGGAGATGGCCGTCGATGTAAGCAACAGTATTGATTGCGATATCTCTCCGCCATGACATTTTGCCGCGAGCTGGACCTCGCAGTCATTACCGGCCTATGCATCACAGCCCAGGAGGGACGATAGATGTCATGATGCTCCAATATCACATTCCTGATGACTTGTCAGGCTCTACCGTCAAGACTACTAGATCACTCGGCATAGGCCCAGCATCCACTTCAGGATCAAGGTAGCTTTCATCTTTCATTATTCAACAGCGAGAGAAAGCGGCGGAAATGCTATCCAAGCCTCAACACAAGAATATACCTCGACCTCAGCAGCAGTACGATGAGTACCACTAGATGGACTCTCATATATAATTCTGCCAGTCTCTTTCGATATGGATGTGTAGAACTTAATACCCTTTTCTTTCATCTATCCGAGTCTATGTTTTCGACCGGCTGCTCAATGTCCTCGTTGGCATTAAGGCTACAGCATTTGCAGTCACTAGATCAGCAACTGCCAGGACTAGTAGTGGTGTGACCACTGCACCAGGAAAGGATATTTGCAAGAATGGGTACCAGTCCGCGGACGACGTCACTTTCGACATTAATACCTATATGGCCTATCTATACTCAGATACTCTGTGCAATCTGACCCTGTCAACCCATGACACCGAGTGCATCGATTTCAGAGCTCTCCAACGACATGACCCTAGACTTTGAGCCATGAGATGCTCCATAGGAGTGGTATGAAGACCAATGCTAATTGCTGGTGCTCTTCCTTATACGATTTGCCAGTCGAACAACTAGCCCGCTGGCGATATTCGTGACTCAATTTACCTATATGTTACGCCACGTATATTGTACATGAAGCGCACAGAAGCCTTTGATATAAGGTACGCAAAAATCGACAAACTCAGTGTCTTCCCATCGACCAGAAAGGTCGGTCTGATGGAGGGCAGCTCACTTAGCCAAAACCACAGGCTATTGAGTCTTTGGATTGGTTGCATCTTTTAGCACAGGGTTCAACCCTCGGCGTGGCTTGTCCGAAGAGTGGATTCGACCAAAGGGAATACGAACTCCAGCCAACTTCTCGACTAGGGGGCACAATCACGAGATAGCTCGATACTTAGGCACCAGGGGCCAGCCAGGCAACATTGGAGGAATTTCGGAACAAGCCGTCGAAGTCTGTTTGATCTAGTGGCATACACTAGACTCGATTGCGACCGTGAACAGAATCGAATGTCAAGAGCGAAGACGCTAACAGTTCTCGCCCCCCAGTCCGGTTTGCCACACAAAGAAAGGAATCCGGACGTATCGCGACTTGTCTGAGGCCTAGAAACCCATGTTTACTTGTTCATGAGTGTACAGTAGGATGGGAGAGGATATCGAAGTTTCCAAGGACTGAATAATAACCAGTGAGAACTTAGTATCAGATCCTGCCCTGTTGGACCCTGGTGAAATTATCTCGACGGGGAAGGAAGAAAAAAAAAGCGTGAGTCTTAGCGCCGGCGCTAAACCCTCCCAAATGGCTCCATTCCGGACCCTTTTTCGAAACCCTGCCAATCAGTTACCCGAGGAGGCAATCCATCAAGATGCAGCAATTTCCACTTGTTCCTACGTGGAGTGATATGAGGCTCGAACCTCGAGGTAATTATAGATAAGCCCTGTTGGACACCACAATGGACCCTGGACTGCCCTCGTTCGGATTCTCCCTCCTCTCTCCCTTCCTCACCCACCATCCTCAGCGGTTGTCCGTCGGAGATGGCATCCTCACGTTCGTTTTCGGGATTCATCTCCCTTCTGCTTCTGTTCCAACTCTCTTCCTTCGTTTATGCTGCCCCATGGATTGTCACTGCAGACTACCAGGAGGTGGTCACCACAGAAAGGCATTACTATGCTACGTACACCACCACTCTCATTGAGCAAATCACTCCCACCGTCACTTCCATGCCCGAGGCAGTCTCCACCGCTACCTCCCTCGGCTCCTCGAATTACTACTACTACTACAACGACGACGAGGACGCCGAAAAGGATGTGACTATCATTCAACAACTTTACCCAACAGGCGTCGGGTCAGTGGTTGATGATTACGACTACGATTACGGCTATGGCTATGACGACGACGACGTTTACCACAGTACCAAGTTCGTTGTCAACATGACATATTCGGCGCCCACTGGTTGCTCGTCTCGCTGGACTCAGACAACAGCAGTTGAGGTTGTCCCGCCTACAGAGATCCAGGATCTGCTCCCACGCACGGCTGTTGCTACATCGATCTCGGTCGACTCTGTGAGACCTTTTCAGCCGACGACCTACACTATCGACATTGTCTACGTTGATCCCACGCAGCTTCCCACAAGCTCACTGGAGTCAATGAGCTTGTACAATCGGCCTACCTCATTGTATACTGCTTCTAGCTGTGCCTACACCGGCAGCAGCGGGAACGGGTACTACAGCGGCAGCTCGTACTACGGCTATTACGGCTATGATGACGGTTACAACTGGTTCACGGACGATTACTACATGGGTATCACGCCGCTGGCACTCACCCTTATCTTGACACTTGGCTGGATTGGCCTCTGGTTGATCTTAGGTTTTATTGAGGCGTGGATCCGATTCCGCCGCCTGATGATGGGCTGGCAAACACGCCGCGGTCTCCCTGTCTGCTGGTCACTGACTATTCTCCCCTTCACCCTGTTACTGCTATGCTTTTTCCGGAAGGGTTATCGGGCTCGCTCTGATGCAGATGGGGAGGTCCTTCGCAAGCGGTGGAAGTCAATGGGGTTCTGGACCAAATTGCGTCTCTTCTTCGTCTGGGGATTTCGGTACAAGTACCCGCCGGTACTCGGTCCTGCACCCGCCCGGGTCAAGACCAGCAAGCAGCCAGCAAAGAATCCTGGTCCTCGACTGTTGGAGCCCAGTCCCTCGCCCAGCGTGGCGCCACAATCGCGACCGGGATCAGCCTCTGCATCCACCGCTGCTGCTGCTGCTGCTGCTACTGCTCCGGCTTCTACTCCGGCTGATCCCGAAATGGCGATGGTTTCTTCCCCCCAAGTCACACACCCACAAGAAACCACTGTGCCACCAACGACGACTACTGCCCCGGAAGCGCCACCTCGTCGCCAGGATGATGAGATTGGTCGGGCGAACTAATACATCAAGTCGTGTTCAATATGCTCATGGTCCTAGTCTGATACCCTGAAAGCCACTCTTTCTTATACTATCATCCATCATGTCACAGTGAAACCCTCATGCTATGTCGGACGATTTAATGTATTCCTTAATAAACTAATGTATTTACTAAGTCCTACCGTTTCGCCCAGCTGACGGTGTCCGGAGTAACACCTGTCAATATGTATCTAATAAAATCTATCTACCAAGAATACCGAACCAACTAGTTTGAAGAAGACAATATGACCAGTGACTGGCTATTTTCTGCCGAGCCCGGTCTTGCGGTTGAACCAGAAGAGCACTAATGAAGGCGAGGGTTATTTTGTTTCATATTTCCCTTTTTTTTTCTTTTCTTGCTCTCTTTCCTTCCACCCTTGAATGGAGGAGAACGGACCGCCCTACTTTCTGAACGAACCTCTTAATCTCTGTTGAGTAGGGTGGCTCGAGCGACATGAACTCCATCCAGCTCTTCGCCGTTGACGTGTCCGCGACCGTCGGAGCGGATTGGCGAGCATCGCCTATGTAGGCGACATCCGCGACAGTCTCCGGTAATTGTCATGGCTTATTCGTCCCGGATCCCCACCAACATATTTATTTATAAGGCCCATTGCTTGGTACATCAAGCAAATAACCCAAATTTAGCTTTCTTGAGGCCAGGATACCCAAAATGACTGTTATCGACAAACCAGACGAAGTCTATCCCCCAATCCCCGTATATGGTGGTGAGTCGACCCGGTAATTTAGATCTAATGGGTGAGTATGCTTACATTCATTTGCACAGGCCGATGGACTCCGCCAAAGCGCCTTCTGGACTGCTACAACCACATGTGGATTGACACAGACGTGTGGGAGCTTCCAGAAAATGTTACCTATGAGCTCTACAGCCAACCAACGCGCGGTCCCGGAGCCCAGGGCTCCTATTTGGTCGTCCTACCACCCGGCTACGATGACCTAGACGTAAACGGAGAGCGATACCCCGTACTCTACTGGCTACATGGGGGCTTTTCATGCTCCCGCCATGCGCTTTGGTCACTCCAATTTTATGCACGCAAAATGGAGCTGGGCACTATGCCCAAGGTGATTTTGGTCGCACCGCAGGTACGTATGGATGTGGAATAATAAGAGGAGAAGTGATCATTGTTATCTACGGATCTGCTGACACCGTTCATAGGCGTTGCCAAAAGGTCGCTGGATCAACAGTTACGACGGCAGCCGCCGCCTTGGGGACATCATGCGCCACGATCTCGTCACAGCCATTGATGAGCGGTACAGGACCATTAGACATCCATCAGCGCGTTGGCTGGAGGGTCACTCAGCAGGCGGGTAGGTGGCCAAAACACTCGTAGAGTGTTCCTTTTACTGAGAGTTGAGTAGTTACGGTGCCTTCAACCTTGGTCTCAAGTATCCTGATGTTTTCGGAGGCGCCTTGTCGTCACTTGCTGGCTCATTTAGAACCGAATTAGCCAAGGAAGGCCTTGAGGTTACTTACGACACTTACAACGGCTCGCAGGCATTTTTCACCTCGAATCATGCCCTCACGCTTCTGAAGGGAATCCTCCCTCAGGTCCATCGCGACAAGCCGGAGCTGCGGTTGCTCATTGGCGGCGAGGATATTAGACTACGCGAAGCACATGAGCACATGTGGACCAGCTTGGACGCTCTGGGCGTGCCTTACACGAAAGCTATTGTCCCGGGAGCTCCCCACACAGCAGAGCATGTCCTGGGGGGCCTGAACAACGATGGTCTCCAATTCTGGTGGAACGCACGGGCAAAGGTTGTTGACGCCTGAGAGTGGGGCGTGCTGGGGCACTTCCATTTGAAGTAGTACTAGTACCTCAGTCTAGAAATCCTACCGCCTCATCATCAAGAAGCTCTTATATATAACAGAATGAATGAAGTATGTGATGGGATCCACCCCGCCTTCGTATGCCACCCGTACGGGGATTCGACCTCTCCATAACGCGGCGGAAAATAATATTTTTCTCGGGCGTTGCACAATCAATTCACATCGTCAGAGATAGCCGCATTAACCATCCTGTAAATTAAATAGTTTATGAACCGTTCGGGATAGGAGAGCAGAATATTATTTTCTATGGTCGTTACAAGGTAACAATTATAGAATATCTCTTCGCCGTGCAGATAGTAGACTAAATTGGTTCAGAACGTGCCTCAATTTGACAAATAATACTGAAGAAACCCAACTATCAATCTATTCCAGATATTCCAGTGTAACAGCGTCTTAGATAGAATACTATTCGCCAGCATAGTTCCGTAGTAACTTTAAACCTTGTTCTCGACTTGCTGTCGAGCTTCAGCAGTTGCTGGTTCTGCATGGTGGTTGCTGCCCGCCCTTTTGTTCTTTTTTTGCTCCAGCCAAGCTCTAGCAGCCTCCTTTTGCTGTTGATCATCGTCTCTCTTCAATGAGTAGTCCTTGACGAAAAAGACGCAAAGAAAGAATTGAATGCCGGCCAGGGCAGTCATCATGTAATATGTGACCTGCACTCCGTGGGCTGTCGCAATCATTTAGTCAATGAGTCGCTCCGCCAAGTAAAAGAGGGGGGCACATCATTGCTTGGGATGTAAACGGATAAGGTAAATAAAGCACAATAGTGGCAAGGGACAACTCACCGTACGCATTCAGTGCTTCTGATTCCTGTGCCGAGGATAGTGACATGGAGGCTATTTTTGTAGGATCGGCGATGATTTCGGTTATGATCGATGACGGAAAGTTGATTCCCTCGAGCTTCGTCCTATTATTTCCTGTCATGAAAACTTCTTTGGGAGCCAACTAAGAAAAGATAAGGGAAACCATAAAAGCAAGGCAGTAATGGTTGGGTGGACATTAATGCATTTTCGCTCACCGGACAATGTTGTTGACAATAGCCGAACTGGCTGCTACAGCCAAAGTCGAGCCCATCATTCGTAGATAATTACGAGCGCCAGTGATAACTGCCATCTCTTCCCTCTTGACTGCAGCTTGGATAGCAACCAGGGTCGTCTGAAGTGTCTGCCCACTGCCGAGCCCCGTCAGTAGCTGGAAGATCACAAGGACCGCTGCCGACGTTGACGGAGTGACCATTGTAAACAACCCCGACGCAATTGTCCAAAGAGCATAGCCGACAATCAGGTTGATTCGATAACATGAGTACTTCGATACGAGGAAGCCCGAAGAAAATGATGTGACAATTTGCGAGAGAATTAGTGGAAGAATCAGGATACCCGATCGTAGCGAGGAGTCGCCCCGGGCCACTTGATAAAACTGGGGCAGCTGAAGGGGGTTGTTAGTCTGAGATGCAAACATAGAAGAAGGCCTGGGGAATTCCAACATAGTAGAGGTTAACAAAAGTCATGAATCCGGTGAGAAAAGATGTCAGGATGCAGATAGAGACGTGCGAATTCTTGAACATATGCACTAAGAAGAGATCAGCCGTGAAAGAACGGCTGACTACCGTAAAGAAGTGGTTGAGACTAACGTGGAATCCTGCAAGGAAGAAGTTAATGTTACACTCAATAAATGATGATTTTGTTAACCGAAGTACAACTTACAAGGGCAACCTGGCCACTTTAAATTCAACAAAGAGAAAGACTCCAACGAGCGCTACACCGAGTAACAAGGGTGCTAGAACAGCTGCTGAAGTCCAAGGATACTGCGTGCCAGCCCTGATAGATTGCGAATGGTTATTATACCCCGGGAGCAATCATACTGCAGGTGGATGGAAAAACTGTTGGACATACCATGAGATGGGAAGTAGGATGGCAATTGACGCAGAGAAACTAATCAAGCATCCCCAGCCATCAATCTGCTTGATCTTCTCTAACGCATGGCCTTCGACCTTCCGAAGGGGTAGCGCAAAGGCAACAACGACCATAGCAACCCCGGATAGGGGTACACTGATGTACTGGTAACGCTTAGCTACAGCCATTTAGTTCAAGGATGCCGGAGAGAACGTACAAAACACCATCTCCAGGAAACCTTCTCGGTGAAAAGACCACCAATCAAAGGGCCCAGTGCAGTTCCGGCTGCCACAACGATACCAATAATCCCTTGATATTTCCCCCTGTCCTGAAGGGACACAACGTCAGATACGACGATACTAACCACGGTAACAATGCCTCCACCACCGACTCCCGCCACCGCCCCTAAGTGTAAATGGCATTAGCGTCGAGACTAGCGAGATCAAATCTGTTACCATGACTCACGCGCTATGATCAGCATAATCATGCCCCTCGAGACACCTGAGATGACACTCCCCACGAGAAAAAGAAAGAGCGAGCCCAAAAGGATGAACTAAAGTTTTGAGCTCCGTCAAATGCTGCATGATAGACAGAACTGCTCAGTCGTCGGATCTGGGAGGCTTACCTTCCGGCCAAAGATGTCCGTCAACCGGCCATATAGTGGTTGACATGCCGTGCAAGTTAGAAGGTAGGCAGTACCAACCCAGGAGACAATATCGGCCTGATGGAATACAGCACCAAGGGTAGGCAGGGCAGTTGCAACGCTTGGGGTGTGTGTTCAAGTTAGGGCGGAAAAAACAATACCCGGAAATCAGAGAGATGTAATAAACGTACATAGTCTGGTTGAGCATCGAGCCTGTGAGAATGTTTGATAAGTCAGAAGAGCTCGCCAAAAATCCCTAGGTTGAAGGGGTGTCTTCTCACATAACATCGCTATCGATAGACCAGAGAAGACCACAAGTAACTGCTTCATGGGCAGTAAGTTTGTCTGCGTCTGAAGCTCTTTGCCTGGCCCATCCGTGACCGCACGGCGGCCCTGAATGTGGTCGTCATCGCCAGCATATTTTTCGTCTGCAGAGCTCTTATCGTGTATGGATGCAACAGGGCCAGGCAAGGCATTCACAGCATAGTCCGTAGGTAACGGATGAGGATGGATTCCAGGGCTGTCACAATTGCCTGGAGCGGCTATCACCGTAATTGACTTCCAGTCGCTTGCCATAGTTCTAAGGGGAACGGCTTTCTCGTGATCACCCTACAGCACATTTCCCTCTGCAAGCTAGCCTCAGTAGAAAGGAATTATATAAACACTACTTCTCGCAGTAGTGGGACTAAAGAGGCTACGAGTGAGCTTCATTGCAGATTCACCATTTCATCTGACAGAGGACCGGAGGCGACCGTCGCCAACTGACGTTCAAGGCTAATTTTATAACGGATGTAAGCTTTGCCCCTAAATAACCGAGTCTCTACCTGCCTATTGACGTCAAGTAGCATTCAGACGATGATCCTTTTCCCGATGGCCCGGTTCCACTCTGGTCCGGCGCGCAAGTGTCCATGTGCACAGCGCCGGTTGTAGCAATCATTACTCTTCATGACCTTCCAGACAAAGTCCATGATGCTGGAATTAGCCCGTACCATTTACGAACAATGATGGGAATATGGTAAGGGTTCGTTGAGAGACCTAAGAATCAGTGGTATTGTATTAGTCAAGACTCTAATGGTTACTAGGTGTAACGACGCTCCCTGGAGGGAAATAAAGACGTCTAAGGGTGCTTTCCCTCATCACTATAGAAAGCTTTCTCAGTCAGCTCTGAGATGATGATACATCAATGGTATTCCCTCTGTTAAGATTCCTAATTTGACTTGGATTCACATTCACATGCTGCTGGGTCCACCTTTGAATACCGAGTACAGCCTACGTGTCCAATGAATTCAAAGAGAAGGAAGCATCCGAAGAAATGACGTTTGAATTTCCACAGGGCCCTGTTGCATTGGGATGCGCGAACGAGTGATTAGGAAGCAGTGGATCAAAACGAGATCCCTGCTCATGCCATTAGCTCATCCTGTGGCCTGTAGTGTAACATTTATGAAGGGAGACAACTCACAGTCCCGCTAGGATTAATGCGTCCCCAGGAATTGAACATATTGAGGCTGCTAAAATCAGTCATGGCTGTAACAAGGTTGTTAGTTGATTGTCCAGTGTGCGGGCCTCCCATCCACAAATTGGGCAAGATATCCCACGATGCTTCTGCTGTTTCGGGCTGGACGGACGGAAGCAAATTAGTTTCAACATACATACATATATATATAAATATATATATATAAACGCAACGGGAGAATTTCTTTCCAGTCCGGAGTACCTACAAGTCTGCAAGAATCATCGACGTCGTATCCCCGGACCCAAGACATAGTGCCAAATGGGATGCAATCAGGCAAAATTTCAGCGAGACTTGCTTCGAGGTGTGTTGCAATCTGATGGATAGTTTGGAGTCTCGGGTTAGCAAAGCCTCAGGCCTTTATACAGGCACAATTGGCTTAGACTCACTATATCAGCTTGCTCGGCTGCTCGTCTGGAGTCCAGCGCTTTTTGACGGCAGAACCAAGGCAAAGAGGCAGTCTGAGAAACTCTATTTTACCGATCAACAATAGCACACTATTGATTAGTATCTGCACAGGAGGGATAGAGACGACTGGGGCAGACAGATTTGCCTGACTTACGCATCCTCGCTCTCGAAAGTTCCCGAGGCAAGCTCGTGGCATGCTAACATACGGCGCATCTCCTGAAGCTGCGGCATGTAAAACGTCAGATCTCCCTGGCGCCTTCTCAACATCTGACAGCAGACGCGTGGGGCAAGACTTACGACCAAGGACACTTGATGGAAATATTTACTTGTTCTTTGTATGAATCCCAGCATCATGTCGAATTTCTTCTCTAATTCAAGACGCATCCCGTCATCCTTGAGCGTCGGCATCAGGAGTTCCAATTGTACCCGTACAGACAAATAAACCACGTGCGCAATGGTGTGATCAGAGATAGTCAACGGCTGGCGAGGCATTTCCCGGTCCACAAGGTCTAAAACATCCGTGATAGCCTGGGCGTGCCGTAAGCAGTTGTGACGGGCCTGGTCAATCCAGCCAGCAGGCGCGGTTGACATGACCGTCGGATCTAGGGACTGGGGATATCCGTGAAGAGCAATGCTGTAAAGCTCTAGGTGGCATTCGTTCCACCAGAGATAAAACATAACAATCTGACCCAAAACAGGCGCATCGTGTTGTCGACGCACCAACTCGGGGGAGAGCTGCAGCCGTGGGGGCAAAGACTCGGACAGGGAGGCCAACTGTGCCAAGCACACCACGAATGGGGAGGAAGCATCCCATGGGGCAAGTGCCGGGCCAATGGCACTAGGTTGGTGATGTGTGCGTCGTTCTTCCTTGTCCTCCGTCAGGGAATGGAAGTAGCGCTTAATTTTCATCCTCACGCTCACAAGTCGCACCCAAAATCCCATGGCCCCAACATTCCGCTACATGCCTTTTGAGCCGGGGGTCTCGGGCTCGTCTGCCTCGAGTGTCGCATAAGGCGTCTCGATGCTCACGTCGTGGCGATAATTAAAGCCGTCACATGGCAGCCGCAATTTGATACGGGACGCAGGGCATTGAATTGTCTCTGGAGCTCCATTGGATATAAAACGGCCAATGGCATAGCAGGCGAAAAACAGGCGCCTGTCGCGTTCACTTTCAACAAAAGAAGAGGTGCCGGGTGAGGGCTCGCGATGAAGACCCAGACTTACTGCGTGGCTATTGGCAATGGATGACCAAAGATGAGATTGGGCAAATCGACCAGCTTGCTGCATGTAGATAGCGAGCAAAAGAGCGACCACAACGTGATTTCGTGAGACCTCGGTCGCTGTTGTGACCCAGTTAGCCGCTTCGGTGGCCCAGCTGATGACCACATCGTCTGGTTGGGGCGGAGTGGTGAAACGCGCCCCGACGGCACACACGGCCAGGACGACCGGGGTACCGAGTGTGCCGTCACGAATAGCCATCAGAGTCTGATCCCTATGCAGGAAGGCGTTCGCCCGGTATACATGGACGTGTCGGAAGAAAGCGACAGCAAGACGCTCAATATTATCTTGGCTGGGTAGAATGCTCCTGCACGGGCCCAGCGTGACGATGGCACCTGCTGAAGCTTGTGGTAGGGATGACTGGCTTCCACAAGGAGCGGAGACAATATCGTCTAGCCTATCAGACGTCTCTGGGGCACTGGCATCGACTGGCCGCATTGCCAGCCGTTGACCATCAGTAGTCTCGGGATGTGTTGGAGTAGACTCTGGTTCTGGTGAGTTAGTGAGGCTGGTGAGGGCTCCTGAACGCGAGAGTTCGGCGGAGTTGCCCAGCTCCGCCGTTTGGAGTCTCCTCATCCAGGACTGCGCCGAGGATGTGAGAGAGTGGGACCCCTGGGGCTCGGGATACTTGCACTCGTGTCCTTGAGCACGGCAGCGGGCGCATATCGGTCGATCTTTGGAGCACTTCGAGCGGGCATAACGACAAGAGAAGCATGCAGACAGTCGGGGACCTCCTGTAGCGATGGATTGAGGGCCCTGTGTGTTGCAAGACGGCGTTGAGACACGACAGAAACGTTTGATTGTAGGTTCGGGCCAGCGGCACTCCAACCCAAGGTTTCCGCAGTGGATGCACCGCGGCCGGGTCTCGTCGCACTTGACTTTACGGGCACGACAGGTCAAGCAGCCTGAGTGCGACATTAACTGGTGGATCAGCGGCTGCCTTGGTCATCCTCTATTCTATAGCAAGGAACTTACCAGTCTTGGCCCGCTTTCTCTTCTGGGATTCCTCTGGCATGGCTCGAACCGGAGTAACGGAAACAGGATGCTAGCCCTCGTTCGGTTGCACTAGCGTGAGTAGCGGCAAGCTGACGGGCAGCTAACTCACTTGCTGGTGTACGAGATGCAGGCTCTGAATGGGACCCGGTCTGAAGGAGAGACAGGCGAGGGATTTCAGCTTGCTTACCGCTGCTCGGCCTAGAGAGGGGAAGGGGACGAACAGATGTTGAAACGTGGCAGAGGCGAGCGTCGGCTGATGCTTTATAAGATCCGATCGCGTGCGGGGGAATTACTCCGGGGGAATCAAAGCTTAGTCTGGGATTCGGAACCCGCCTGTACGTCCGAGCGTCGAGCTCAGTAGACAATCCGACTTTTACTCTTAATATGGGGCTGTCTCGATGTGATTTTGTTGATGAACAGCGCCATTTTTACTATCACTGCACGTCCTTTAGGATAAGTATCCACACATAAGCATGACTGCCTCGTTTCCTCCAGTTGCCATTAACGGAGGGCTGATTGAGGGCAAGACAAGTGACGTGGATGCCTCCATCACCCTCTACCTCGGGATTCCCTATGCCGCTCCGCCCACCGGGCCCCGTCGATTCCAGCCTCCACAACCTGTAATTCCATGGGAAGGTGTCAAAAAATGCCATGAGATCGGACCCATCTGTCCGCAAGCACCCCCTGACCCCCGCTGGATAAATGTTCTTCAAGGTCATCAGCAGTCTGAGGATTGTCTCTATCTTAACGTGTTCCAGCCCGGTGAAGCGCATGAGAAGCCGTATCCTGTGTTCATCTGGTTTCATGGTGGTGGCTTTCGGGAGGGTGGCAGTGCCGATCCCAATTTCGATGGCACTGGTCTCGCAAAGAAGGGTGTAATTGTTGTGGTCCCTTCCTTTCGACTTTGTAAGTACAAGCCTGAATAAATTTTGAGATGCCGAAGTGTCTCGCGATTGCTGACGTTAAACCCATTAGCCATCTTCGGCTATTACGCCCATCCGGAATTAAGCGCTGAGTCTCCATCAGGCACCTCCGGAATGATGGGAATGCTTGATGCCGTCGAGGTGCTTCGCTGGGTGCAGTCCAATATTGCAGCCTTCGGAGGGAATCCAAGCCAAGTGACGATAGGAGGGCAGTCGGCAGGTAATGCCATGTGTCACACCCTGCTTGTGTCGCCTCTAGCGAAAAGCCTCCTTCATGGTGTCATCTTGCAGTCCGGGCCTCGGTCATTCCAGGAGCCCGCCGTGGCTAATGGCCCCATGTCGTATCGTACCCTACAGCAGGCAGAGGATGATGGCGTGCACCTCCTCAAGGAGCTGGGGTTGCAGTCAATCGAAGAGCTCCGGGAGTTCAATGACATAGACAAGCTGTGCGAGTTATCCACCCGAAGAGATCCTCGCTGCTGGGGTCCCCCGCCACTATTTCGGTTGACCCTCGATGGATATGTCATCCCGAAGCCCTGGCACCAGATCTTCGCGGAGGGTCCGGCTAATGACGTTCCAATCCTGGCTGGCATGAACAGTGAAGAGGGCGGCACCTACAACGAGCCTCGCTTCACGTACGAGGACTTTGTTGAATGTGTGGAGAGTCGTCTTGGGCAGCATTCGACATACGGTCAAGGTGACTCGAAGTGGGTGAAACGATTCCATCAACTCTACACGCCCACAGATCATGAAACAGGGAAAGGTCCTCTGGACGCATGGAACAGTGCCGCTCGAGATAACACGCGCAACAATATCACGCTCTGGGCCCAGGAGTATCATCAGAAAACGGCCTCGCCCGTGTACGGGTACTACTTCACCCATCCCATCCCCCCCTGGAACAACTGGCAGCCTGATTATTCGCAGCCAAAGGTTCCTGGATTTACAAACCAGAAAGGTCCTGTTACGGGGGCTTACCATGGTGCGGAATTTGCTTATACATTCAACAGCCTCATTACTAATAACCTCCGGCCCTGGAGCAATACCGATCGCATCGTTGGCGATAAAGTGTCTACGCTTTGGGCCAACTTCGTCAAATGTGGCAATCCTAACGGCCGTCCGGGGGAGAATGAGAGTCCAGAAGGCGTTGCTTCTTGGCCAAACCTCATTGAACACCCCCACGCTTTGTTAGAGCTAGGTGGGGAGTGGCAGACAATACGGACCACGGAACCGGAAATAGAGGAGTTCTGGACAAGCTATGTTAGATCCCAGAAGGCTTGGTAGACGCAGTTATCCGCGAATCATATAAACTTAGTGCACGCAAGGCTCATTACCGAGCCCGGATAGACATATTTGCCAATATGAATACTCAAATCGATACTTCTAAATAACCCCTCCATAAGATGTCACTCGCGGCTTTGTGAACATCCAACGTTACCAACTTCGCCGGCTGATCGAATACTTACAGTCGGAAGTCGCTCGTCATCATTTAGTGAGAGTTACTGGCACGAATTGCGTTCCATCATACATTAAAGCGTAGGTGACACTTTTGCATGTACTATGAATTCCATACACATGTGAAGCAACGCTAATATGGAAGATATACATAAATGTATGAGCATTGGGCTCTAGCATCAAAAGGTGTAATACGCTTCGCTCCAGCACATACCATAAAATATATGACAATCGCATTACTCTATGAAATCTTAGATACGTGAGGCTATCGAGTGCGATACAGAATGTACGACTTTAACTTCTCGACATATGCCAGGCTCACTAATGTAGAGACTAATGCGGAGAATCACAAGTACACTTTCTTTCTTATCCTCGAGTAACCTTGTACTATATGTCTGGGTGTCCGCTGCTGCCCATCTTACCTACAGAGCATTTTCGACATGCTGAAATTCCTTCTCTTTATTACCCACAACAATGCCGGGGCCGTTGCTATCATCATCAAAAACATTTATCCTTGCCGTCCGCCACTGACGAGGGTGTAGTCCGGATTCCTCGAAAAGATAATCAATTTCACGGAAGGTTCGATCTTTGGTCTCGGGAAGACGGAAGATACACCAGATCCAAATCAAAGCGTTCGTACCGGCCTTTTTTACCCATATCAGCAGGAATTAGCAGGAAACCGATCAGGGGTAAGGATACTGACAAACATAAAGGCCGTCTTAGCGCCAAGATTCCAGGACCCGCCGGTCAACATCTTTGGCAGTAGAACATTTGAAATAAGACTGGAGACATTGAAGGCAACTCGGGCGAGGGAGACCATTTTAGCTCGCAGTTTGCTAGACGGCACTTCACCCTGTTTTGTGTCACTACTCGTCCCAAAATGTACATCCGCATGACTTACGATGATCGTGTATGAGGACGGAGCGACAGTGGAAATATATATGACAGTGGACACGAGAAGAAGCGAGCCAACTGTATTAGAAACAGCCGTGCTTTGCTTGACGCACCCAAGAACCCCAATGACAACCAAGAACACGTCACTTAGAATGAGGCCTGTGGTGAAGATAGTTGCACGCCCAAATTTAGTCATCAGCCAAATGCAGAACAGACCAAATGTGAGGTACTGGGAGTTGAGAATCAAATTCAAATCGAAGGCGCCCTGCTCCGAAAGGCCTGCCTGCTCCAAAAACTGGACCGTCTGTACATTGATACCATTGCCGCCCCAAGTCTGGGCTATCTGAACTATACAGACCTTCTGATTGTGAATATCCCTTGAGGTAAATCAGCATACCGATCGCCACTTACAATTTCTGTCCGCCATCGATTCTTGCCCCGGAAGCACTCGGCGTAGCTACTGGACTCTTTAATTTGGATCTCCATCTTGTTGGTATAGTCAATAAGCGCGATGGATTGCTCAATCTCCTCGTCCGTTATATCTTTTTGCCGGATGCGGCGCAGTGTCGCACGAGCGTCCTCATAGCGACCTTTGCGAACTAGATAGTAGGGAGATTCTGGGGCCAAAAGAAAGCAGATGAGGAGGGGAACGGGCCACACAAACTGAACAAGGAAGGGCACACGCCAGGCTGGGTTAACTCTGTGTCACTGGAAGCTAAAACTAACTTAATGGTAGGATGGTAAGGTAGGGATTACTTACCCCACTGGCCGATCAAATTCAAGCAGCCTCTATTGACCAGTGAGCCAATAAAGAAGCCAAGGCCCCAACAGATGCCTATCCACGCCGTGACGAAAGGGCGAAGACAAGTTGGGACCATCTCGGAAGAGTAGGCAATGCAACCTGTTTGAAAGGCGCCCCACGGGATCCCTGACTTGGCCGTCAGTCTCTTTGCAGCGGGGTCGTTGGATCAGGGATTACCGCAGAGAACCATGGCAGCTACCATCATCCCCAGGTTTTGTGCAAAGGCAAAAAGGAAGAGGCTGCCAGTAAGCCAGACCATCATGCCGCTGAGGATTGGTTTCCACCCAAGCCGGTCAGCCAAAAATCCAGCTATGGCAAGACCAATCAGCTCGCCCACAGCCATTGCTTGCTGGATTCCTGTCTGCCACTCGGCTGATATCTCAAGGACGCCATTGTCCACGGTGCCAAATCTTTCTTTGAACTGGGTCTGACCGTAGAAAGAAGTAGTCTTGTTCCGGGTCAGCAATCCACTTAGTACGGCCTTGCTCGAACTGTAACCGAACTCACTGAAGTTGCATCAGCAGACTGCATGGTAAGGGTAAACGAAAAGATGCACGCCCAGAAGACGGCTTTTCGGTACTTGAATATCGCTTTCCACCAGGTGAGGGCATGGTCCGCGGCATTGGCAGCATGCGCACGCTCTAGCAATATTGCTGCATTCTGGTCAGGTCTGCTATCCCTCTCAATAGTTGGAGGAGAATTCTTCTCCATGTTCGAGTGAGCTGTTGGATGCGAGGATCGGCAAAGTGGAGATGCGACTAGGGCCATCCCTCTAATGTTCCCCAGATTGCGGGGAATTCGCGGGGTAGTTATAACCCATACTTCCTAATCACCGCTGAAGGATGTACCCGGTAGCTTGACGTATCTGGCGGGATATGTTGCCTAAAGGCACACCCATACTATTGCTCATGTGTCTTTCTTCCATGAATGTGCCGCCAGGTGAGGCTCGCTAAAGGCCTGAGCGTGCGGCGAGCTCTTCCGGTAGCCGACACTAGCAAAGGCATCCCTCGCTTGTCTCGCCTACCCTGAGCAGTCGTTATGTAAGGTGCCGATCGAGTTTTCCAAAAATAATATGAAGGTGATGAATCTTATTTGGTAAGTCAGAAATCAATTTCACCTGCGTAACGCTGTCCGGGGCTGTTGGACTTCCGAAAAATGGACACTATGTCTTCAACCACCACAACCTATGTGTACGTCGGCAGCTTCGTGATGCCTCAACCGGGAAAGCATGAAGGCCTACATGTTTTCCGACTTGACAATGACACGGGAGCCCTTACATTCGTGGCATCGTACGTGCCTGGGCTGAACGTTGGCAGTTTCGCCATTGACTACAAACGTGGCATGCTGTACCTCACGGACGAAGTACCAAATGGTGGCCAGATCTATGTCTTCTCAATGGACCCATCAACAGGCGGCTTGACGGAGCGAGGTCACTGGCCCAGCTATGGCACCCAACCATCGGGCATAGCCCTTGCTAATTCCGAGGATATGGTTATTGTTTCCCATTTCACGAGCCGGACCGGTATCACCACTATCGCCGGTGATGCCCAGTCAGGGTATCGCATTGAGCGCCGTTACGATGATGCCACAACAGTCCTATTTACTCTCGATGACACCGGTGGCTCGGATCAGCCATCCCATGTTTACGTCCACGCTGCCTCGGGCCATCAGAGCAAGCCCTCGTGCCTGCACTCTGTCTCACTATCACCTGATGGATCCTTTCTCATCGAGTGTGACATGGAGAAAGACCAGCTCGTCACGATGATAATTGATTATACCTCACATTCACTACGCCTGCAGGGTATTCGGGACGTCCTGCAAGGCAGTGGCCCACGTTACTCAGCCTTCCACCCCACGTTGCCCGTTTTCTACGTTAATTATGAGTACCGACCAATAATCGAGGTATTTAATTACAAGTTGGGCGGTGACTATGTATCTTTAGGGACAGTGGATGTTCTTCCAGAGAACCTAAACGGGGGTCCCGGTGTCTTGCTGTCGGATCTCCGTGTCCACCCGACCGGAAGATATGTCTACACACTCGTTCGCGGCCACAACGTTGTCAGTGCTTTTGCCGTACAAGAGGTGTCCGGTCGCCTACGCCGCATTCAGACTGCCACTATTAATGGGATCTCGCCCAAGGGTTGCACATTTAGTCCCGACGGCCGATTCTTCTACATCGCGGTTTCTGTGAGCAACGAAGTGCAAGTCTGGGCGATTGATGATAACGGGCTACTTACGCCGACCCAAGCGACCGTGGCCGTCTGCCGGCCTAGCGCCATTACGATGGTAGAGTTAACACCACCATGAGGAGAAGGAAACGGATTTGAGATCGTATTAAAGAACATCATACCCCTTCTTCGACACAGACTGCCCCCTTGCCGATAGATTCTCCCGGTGGTCTGTGTCATGACATATAGGAGAAAGACATGCTGAGAGGGTGCCATAATGTAGAAAGTTCTGTATTGCAGGGAATTTAAGTGGGATAACTTATGCAATAAGAGCGGAGTAACCTGACTGTATTCTTATGGGGTGGTCTCAAGCCCCAAGTCTTGAAGCATAATTGTCCCAGAGACAGCTATAGTAGTATTTGGAGGGGTTTGACTGCCAAAGCAGATATGGTAATGTAGAAAGAGAGGCCAGCGAATAGAATCCAGAAACTACCAGTACTGGCGGGCCATACCGCAGACAAAGATACGATCGATGAGAAAGAAAAGATCGAGCCTCCCGATAAATAAACCTCAGCTGTGTCGGGACTCCCTTCGCGTGATTCAATACCACCGGACCTGGACTCTCTGACATACTATCGGAATGACCAAATGCTCATCCAGCTTACGCTCAAGCAAACAAGCTGGCCTCGTCATTCCACGATGTGGAATTCAACCCCCTGCAGGGAACCTTTGAAGCCATTTCCGAATCTGAACAACTTCTCCACATTTCTAAAGATGCGACGTCTCGAAGGGAGGTGCAGAGTGGCTTGAGCTTCTGACAGGAGATGATAGTCTCCTATTCATTCGGTGCAATGTCATGTTATCTACAGCTGGTCTGCGTGTATGATTGCATCTTTTCACACATCCTTCAACAAAGCACAAGCAATCCCAAAGTGAAGGAGTTCATCCTGAATTCAAGACCAAACGTTTCACTGGGAGGGTTGACGGTGCCGTTTCCCGAAAATCTCTGTGGTCACTTGGTTGTGGAGCTCATGCAGTCAAAAACAAAGTCTATTGAGACGGCACTGGGCCTTCAAGAGGAATACTGTGTTTCCAAAAATACTGATAGCAATGGAATCACGTAGAATGAATCTGATACCCAAGACGGGACAGCACCTGGAGTAATAGAAGCTTTGGAGGACAAAATGGCGAGAGTTGAGAAGTTCAGGTAACTAACCATATCCTAGTTAGATCATGCTGTTACGAGCAAAGACGCAAGATAGTGTACATGGCCCTGGTTCGGTGCGCCGGAAAGCGTCAACTCAGAATCGTTTATATATCCTACTCATTTACGATAGCATGCAGACAAGACAGTATAGAAATGACATCTAGTGATCCGAATCATGTAATGCCATCATAACACTTTTAGTCGAGTCTAACATACCCCTGGATCTATCGAGAGCGGCTGGATTGCCACGGATTAGTATACTGGAATGGCCGAAGATAGGAAAATAGAATATGCATCGCGATCACGAAAGCAAATAAACAAGATGCGCATTGGTCGGCAGCTAGAAAGCTACATCGGAAGAAGAGGATAATAATAATAAACCCTAATCCCTGGAGTCCTCAGGAAGCTGCAATCCGAGTTTGACTCCGCTCTTTCGCCAGATATTGATGTGCAATCGTATGAACAAGTGAAAGGCCTTCCCTATCTTGGATATGTTGTGAACGAATCGCTACGGCACCACTCTTCGATCAGTCTTGGTCTTCCTCGGGAGGTCCCGCAGAACCCCCACGGCATAACCTTTCAAGGGAAACATTTCCCTCCGGGAACTATCTGAGCATTCCGATCTATACGCTTCACCATTCGAGAAACGTCTGGGGCGCCGATGCAGACGAGTTTAAGCCGGAGAGGTGGGGAAATTTTACTGATTGTCAAAAGAAAGCCTTCATTCCTTTCAATTACGGCCCGCGTGCGTGTCTGAGCGCAACCTCGCCGAGATGGAACTGCGACTCATCACGGCAACTTGGGCGAGAAGATATGATTTTGTCCTGAGAGACGATGTCATTGAGGGGCTGGCCAGGAAGCCCATTGCCGTGAGCATAGGCCTAAAACGGCGGAATGTTCTAGTCTAAATTTTCCGATAAGGACGTATCAAAATGACAGAATCCATTCCATGGGGAGGAACATCCCCACTAGCATTGTAGAGATGATGTTAGAATTACACCATTTCATAGCAAAATACTGTTTCTTTTTGTCTTTTTTTTTTTTTTTTTTCCTTCGTTTTCCCTACACATGAAGTCATTGGCTATGGACACGTCATCACCCGGAATATGAATACGCTCGCAGGTCAGAGAATATATAGATACGGACAATAGCCAGTCTGAGGTTCTTAGGAATCATAGAGTGGGATAGACTGGGACACAGTTTCAAAGGGACGAACGACGTCTAATTTGATCTACGGCCTATTTTTTCACATTATGTTCGTTATGGCAAGAATGCTAGTAAAATGCCTATAATAACTGGAAAAGCAACGAATAGAACCGATATTATTCCATTACTACCCTCTTATGCTTTGTTCAACTCCAAGTAGTCGCTCTATTGCCCCTTAAATAGATCATCTAGAATGAAAGCTGCACGAATAGCTTCCTCGTCCTCGAATGGACGCCCAACGATCTGGATGGTTGACGGTTGGTTTGTGAACGACTCGGGCCGATCTATAAGGGGGAGAAACTGTCAAAATCCTGCTATGAACCGCCTCAGTGGGGTAAGCTTACACAACTCATAGTTTGGTCTATCATAAGGGTTGGTTTTCAGCGGTTGGTAGCTGTGATCCACGGGATCCAGTTGGGTATCCACCCTGAAATTGGTAATGGGCAAAATCACAGAAGGATAGTCGATCAAATTGAGCAAAGAAGTGTACCCCCAGTATATGTTAAAGTCATGGGGATAGCCAACTGCAGGGGATGAGGGCATGACCAAAGCATCAATCACTCGACCCGAAGCCGTGCGGCTAGCGGTGCCATCCCAACTCTCTGCAAATCGTTCTTTGAGGGCTCTTGTTTTCAGATTCAACTGCACAATCGTTCAGCAAAAGTGTTTCCATGAATGCTGGCATCAAGGTGCTATGGGCCACAAGAACATACATTCAGTGCCTCGGCAGCAGACCTTTCTCGGGGGTTGAAAATCCTGAGTAGATCAGCGAAAGCTGGTATGAGGGGCTCTCCCGAAGCAGCCAGTGTCGATTTCGTTCCAATAGACCCTGACTGGTAGTAAATATCGAACTTAATACCAAGTTAGTTTAGCCATACCTAAATATCACAGACATAAAATTACCGTGGTTTGCTTTGCATCCCAACAATCAAATGGAGGTTCGAATGCTATGACTGTAGATCGGGGTCAATGACAGTTACTAGCTCTAGAAAGCGAAAACTTACCTTCATGCCCTGCCTTCTCAAGGACCTGCTTAGTGTAGTCTATGGCTCGTAATACTGGTGGATGAGGCATAACTACACCATCCCAAGTCATTATCCCTATTGTGAGCTTGCGAGGTAAAGGATCAAGCTCTCTCCACGGCACAGGCACGGAAGTCACATCATGCCGGTTGTTTGGATATGCGTTGATAATTCGTGTAAATAACAGGAGGTCATCTAAAGAGTTGCATACTGGGCCGCAAGAGAGTTTGATCGTGATGTTACCAGTTTTAGTGTTACGCATACCACCTTTAGGTATGCGGTCGGAAGTAGGCCGGATACCATACAGCCCATTAAATGCCGCTGGCACCTGGATGGAGCCTCCCATGTCCGTGGAAGGAGCGATAGGACTGCCCTTTAAAGCTACCAATACAGCATCTCCTCCCGAGCTACCGCCCGCGACCAAGTCCCTGTTGAATGGGTTCGTCGTGCGACCCCATAGATTGCTGACTGTTTCCAATGTCATGCCGGATTGAGGCATGGTGGTCTTACAGAAAAAGACTGCACCTGCGGCACGCAACGTCTGGACGAGGGCACAATCTTCCTTCATGGTATTCGTCCTTCTGGAGACATAACCCATTGTCGAAACATGGTCTTTGAGTTCGTGCACATCCCATGGGACTCCGTGTCAGAGGCTCTGTGCAATAACAGTTCTCTGAGAGATATCTCTTCTCTTTCATCTTACCTTCAAGGCAACAGGAACCCCGTGTAATGGTCCTTTCAGTGTTTCGCCCCCAGCAATGGCGTCATCCAGCGCTCTTGCCTGTTCAAGTCCTTCCTCATAAAACCATTCGGTGAGACAATTCACCTGATTCGCTCGTTAGCTCAATTAGATGTGAAGCCTGAGAATGTAAACATGCCAGTTGGTGAGCAATGGCGGTCCGGGCTGCAAAAGCCTCCAGAACCTGTGCTGCCTTCAATGTTCGTTACTCAAGCCGATCCACGATTTCTGTGGCGGTGAGGTCGGTGATCTGAATCTGTTCCTCCGTCAAGATGCCACAGGTAAAGGGCACTTTTGATACGTCTTTATGCCCATTATAATCATCGAGATCAACCGCCACTGGACGGGTATCGCGTTCAGGACTGAGGCCTGGGCCTCTTTACACACAGCCTGCCAATCCATACTTTTTTATTCACAGTTACTAGGTAAATCCTGGCTTTGATTGTAAACAGATGCAGGAAGAGAACGACCCAGAATCCCGTCGTGGGCGATAAGAGGTTGAATAGCACTAATAACGCAACCACGTCATGAATGTGGGGGTATTGAACATCCCTTCGGGCACTGTACGGTTGGATATATTACAAGACAGAAAATATAAACGTCCGATTGGTTACTATGCACCGAGCTGAAGATCGGAGACGGACGGAGTACGCCGTATGATTCTCTGTCCACATGCTACTGAGACGTACCTTGACTAGCGCGGCAGTAATCCTCGACTAGCATGGACTGTTTCCTCTTGTCCGAAACTCCGTGGCCCAATTATATATTCCTATTGAACCGATGCAATCACGTCCACTATGGCGTGATTGCGCATTATTAATCTGCAACGCAATGATCGCAGAGGTGATAATGTCTGCGAATATTCCGACCGGGACCAAGGATACCAAGGGATGCGATCATGGATATAAGGTCTATTCTCTCTCGCATCTTCCATTCAACCTCAAATCTCGGCTTATAGGAATAAAGAGAAACATAAAACTCATTTCATCGTTACCTATTAAACAAGATTAGATTGGGCTACCCCTTGTCCAACTATTTCATCCTTCGACCCTCCTCGTCATGGCCATCAATCAAGAAGTAATTGAAAAAGTTCCTGCACATGGCGTTTCTTACTACACACCGGCCCAGAATCCGCCAGCTGGCATGCAGATTGAGGGTTCAGTAAAGCTTTTCAATCTGATTACCCTCCGAGGTCTCACCCTTCCAAATCCTCTTTTCCTAGCCCCTCTCTGCCAGTACTCTGCCCAGAATGGCTATGCTACCGATTGGCATCTAACACATCTGGGTGGAATCCTGCAGCGTGGACCAGGGCTGGCAATTATGGAGTCAACTACTGTACAAAGCATTGGTCGCATTACACCGCAAGATTTGTGGCTATACAAAGACGGACAGATCCAGCCGCTGAAGAGAATCACTGAATTTGCTCATAGCCAGAGTCAGAAAATTGCTATTTAATTATCTCATGCAGGTTGAAAGGCCAGTGCAGTAGCTCCGTGGTTAAGTACCAACGCTATGGGTGTTAAGGAAGTTGCTGGATGGCTAGAAGACATTATTAATTCATCAGCAATTCCACACGAGAGAGATGTTAATACAGTTTCTCGAGCACTGACCTCTGAAAAGATCAGTACTTTGGTCAATGATTTTGCAAGAGCGGCACAACGAGCTGTTCAAGCAATTTTTGACGCAATTGAGATTCATGCAGCTCATGGATATCTTTTATATCAATTTTTGAGTCCTGTCAGCAACCAGCGAACTGACAGGTACGGAGGCAGCTTCAACAATCGGATCAGACTTCTTGTAAAGGTCTGTGATGTTAGTAGAGTTATTATGTCAGATATAGTGCCTCTTCTTGTCTGAATCAGTGTAACTGATTGGTTTGAATACCAGGAAAGCTTGGAGTTTCCTGAGAGCTGGACAGTTGAACAGTCTATCCGCCTTGTCCCTGTCTTAGCTGATCATGGTGTTGATTTGTTGGATGTCAGTTCCGGTGAAATTCATCCTTAATCTGCAATTGCTATTAAGCCTGGCGCTGCATACCAAGTACACTGGGCCCACAAGATCAAGAGAGCAACGGGGAATAAACTGGTGGGGACTGCGGTTCGAGAAATCAAAACAGGTAATCTTGCGGAGGAGGTAATACAATCGGGCATTGATGCTGTTCAAGCTGGTCGTTGGTTTCAACAAAGCCCTGGGCTTGTTCGTGCATTCGCCAATGAGCTTGGGGTAAAGGTAACAATGGCGACACAGATTGACGGGAGTTTCGAAGGTCGTAGCAAAGGCAAGAACGCCTCTTGATTGTATATTCTACCGTGGACGATCATTATTTCATTGCTAATACCTTGAGGACAGCCTTCTGTTGGATTAGAATTAGTATAAATATGGAGAGAGGTGTCATACCTCAAGCGACGACAAGACTTCTGTCGTGCACAGAACATGGAGTAGGATCACTTAGGTCGACACCCGAGGCATAACCAAGACACAGACAGACACGAAAGAAGCATCACTCTTACATCCAGGAATAATTTCGAGGCCATTTGTCGAAGCAACATTCAATTTGTTCTATGAAACTGCTATTTGAAGTTAATGACCATACAATTTCCACTTAATGAATGTAAAGCATACTATTCAGTATCATCTGAAGTATATTCAAAGATTATCTTAAAGGGAACAGGCATACAACTGCATTGGTACTTAGAACCGGGGTATTGATGATAGGTCTGCCTGCTGCTTGCTGTTTATATTTTGATCAGCCAGTCCCTTTTCGCATTCAGTTGCCTCGAGAGCCTGGCAGCAAATACAAAAGCTCCGCCAAGGAAAAAGCAAGCCCCCATGAACGCCTGGGCTTTAATATAGTTGCCTCCATCACCCTCGATAAGGGCACCTCCGATGGGGTCTCCTGTCAAGGTCGCCAAGCTAATGATGGTGAAATTCATGCCAGTACGCGCGCCCCGTTGTGATAGGTCACTGGTCAGGCTCGATATCCCCGCCGGGAAAAGACTGGGCATGCTGCCCGCTATGATGCCGTACACCACTGTCCACGCGTACAGTTGGCCTGGGGTACGGACTACCATCCACGAGAAAATGGCGATACCGGCGATTATTGATGTTGGGATCATCATATTTAGCGGCCCCACGAAGTCGGCCAAGTGGTTTGAAATAATAAAAGAACGTTGATGGAGTCTGTATAGGTGAAGTTCGGAACGATAATGGCTCGGCTATAGGAGGCGAGGTAGTAAAAGTAAAGCCAACCAATATAGTTTGTGTTGTATGTAAGTATAGTCCCAGCAGATATTGTTCTCTCAACTTTGTGCAACTGACCATCCTTGACATTTCTCCCCTTATTATTATATATCATCGGGTTATAAGATCTTTTGTTTCATCCAACCCATTGCACGTCCGAGCTGTGGGAAGGTTTTATTGCATTTCAAGTCATGATGAAATTTGAAAACTGGTCCCGTGGTGACTACCTGATCTCTACAGATCCAGCCTTGCTGCAGGTTGATGCTACCAATGCAGCTCTCGGATCGGACATGGTGTGGTGGGCTGGTGACCTGCCAGTTGATGCCCTTAAACGGGCGCTGGATGGCTCGCTTTGCTTTGGTCTGTACCAGAAAGCGCCCGGTGACTCTGACACAAACGAGTCCTGTGCAACTACATTGCAGATTCCTCAAAGTATGTGGGCCTTTTATGATTGAGCAGTTGTCCACTGATACTGATAATCGAATCTACCGCCAGACTATTGCACTCCTCTGAAGCAGATAGGGCTCGTTCGTGTTATAACCGATGGTGTCACGTTCGCATATCTGACGGATGTGTATATTTTGGAGGGACAACAGGGGACGGGCCTCGGCCGCTGGCTACTGGAAATCATGAATAAGAAATTGCAAGCGTGGCCACATCTTCGACGAGCCATGCTCTTGACTACGAACAAGATGCCTCTATTCGCAAATTCTCTTGGCATGAAGGATTATAGAGAGCTAGATGGGATGAAAGGGGTCTCTATTGCTATGGTGGAAGGTCCAGGTGCTCAACACTGACTGCATAAGCCCAATAACTCTCTACGGATATTCTGAGATATTTGGTTGTTCTCTACAATTTACTTTGTTTAATCAGTAGCGGCACGGAAGAGATGTTATAGGCTTTGATATTTTTTCTATTTCCATTATCTGCATTCACAGATTAGTATAATTAATCAGGAATGAATGGGCTCGTAGCCGTGGAGTTCAACGCCTCCTTGCTGTGAATACCTGACAAGCCAGGAGTGTTACGTAGCTTCCTTTAATCTAGTATATTCCCACATTATCATGGTTGTACGATGGAGCTGTATCTTTGCACGAGCTTGGTCTCCCCGAAATAGTTTACTATTACGTTTTATCTCCGTCTATTCCATTTCCCCCCTTGCTGGTGGAGATCGGCGACTTTGTTGCGACGTATGCCTACTTTTCGGAGAGAACACTATGTTCTGTTTCGGCACAATTAACTTACAACTGGGTACATCCATAACAAAGTACCCCCTGCCCACGAACCCTAGAAAGGTGTCGTTAATACAAGCCGAATGGTCAGCCGTCCGCAACGACGCCATCGGGGGGCAGCGAGCCACTGCCGCTTAATTCCGGCTCCGAAGGCATTACAGACCCGTCAAAAAAAGCTCCGGCCTCAAATTTCACCGTCAGGCTGCCATTTTTCCGTAGTGACCAGTGGCGTGCATCTTCGAGACCCGCTGGAGCGCCGGCAGTGTCAGAAACAATCCCCGAATGAGTCAACTCGGTCCGGAATGCAAGAGTCACACCCTTTGTCGATCAAGTTCGCTCCCTCCGTGCGAAGGCCAACTTGCCCTTATAGCAGGTATCGCTCCTCATCGAAACAATAAAAGGAGTTCTTAAGTCCCATTCAAGGAAGAATAAAAGCATCGCAAACATCCTTTATTTTACACATGCTCAATCAACATTATTGAAAGTTGGTTCATTCTTACCAAGGAAGAATTCCAATGGCCGCCCCTCGCCCCGCAGAGTATATGTATGTTCCCACGGCTGACCTCTCCACTATCCAGTTCATCAATCTCTTTGATAAGGAAAAATCGGAGTTGATAAAAATTATCACAGCCTGCGAAAAAGATGGCTTCTTCTACCTCGACCTTCAACATGGCGGTTCCGAAAAGTTTTGGACGGACCTGTACGAGATCGACACTATCACCAAGAAGTGGTTTTCTCAGCCTGAGCATGTCAAAAGGAAGACCCCTACTGTGTCTCTCTCGCATAGGTGAGTTGTTTGGTCGTCTATCTATGGATAAATTTCATAGTTAGTCCAACCAGCTGATCTTGAAACCAATCTAATCCAGGTTCAAAGCCATTGGAAACCAGTCTGGAGCTGTCCAGTCGCTCAAAGATGGCTTTGAGGCACTAAAGGTGAGTAAGAGATATTAAAGAAAACATCCTCCTTACCCCTATATGAATTCAGTCCCAGCCCTAACCGTGTCAGATCGGCAAATTCGAATCGGATGGTCGATGGGCTCTTCCTTCCGTCGCACAGAACAACCTCGATCTGTTTGACCAGTTCACCGCTGCGTGCCATTTCTTCTCGAAGCTTCTACTCGACTGCATCTCGGATGAAATGGGCCTGAAGGGAGACGCCCGGCTTGAAAGTCACCACCGGGACGACTGTCGCTCGAAAAGCACCCTATGCTTTCTTCACTTCCCTCCCAGCGTGACAGACCCGACCCAAATTGGCCAGAACATGCACACCGATATTGGCAGTTTGACCATCCTCCACGCGCCAGTGGGGTCTCCGGGTCTTCTCCCCGGAGGATGCTACTTTGAATTATGTCGTTCCCCGACCGGGTCATGCAATTGTCAACGTCGGCGATACATTGCGCTTCCTTTCAAACAAGCGTTTGCGCTCTGCATTGCACCGCGTGTTGCCTCAGGGCCACGTCCAAACTGAAGATCGCTACTCTATATCGTACTTCCTGCGAGCTACGGACTCCACCGAGTTTGAGGACAGCAATGGAGAAAATTCGAGCGCGAAACAATGGTACATGAAGAAGTATGAAATGTATGAGCTGCCCCATACCATTCAGAAAGAGCACACGACACTTTCGGGTGGAATGGCTCAGGAGCTCAAGCTACCTTCTAAGGGAGGCGTAAAAGGGCTCTATTCTCTTGCGGATGAGCCGACAGGAGACAGAACACCTTTTTATTAGGCCGGTGTGGGCAGAAGCTATTGCTGGGAAAAGATTATCCTTTGGTTGATGTCATTTATTGGATCAAGTCTGCAATGATGAGAGTATCATCCATTATTAAATGAGAACGCCATTTCTGCTTGGACGATTCGGTAGAGAAAATCCGAACATGATGTGAGAGCCGACAAAATACTATCTTTTAACGTCACAAGACAAATCAGATACTCTTGAATGATTATACAAATACATAGATGAGGTGGGAAAAAAAGGCCGGGGGGTAAGAAAAAAAGCTATTTGCGTGATGAGAACCTTGATGTTTCCATATCTCAGTACATTAAGGTGACTGACTGGTGAACATTACATATAATGAATTTTTCCCGTCACCTTTCTCTGTGGTCGTGTGTTAAGTTTCTTGGAGTATTTCAAGTGCTTTTATCCGTTTCCAGCTTCTTTGTATTAATATCTATTAGTGGATCAAGTAAGCTTTAGTCACCATTGACTTCACTATAAACCCTCCTCACCTACTATATACCCTTGTCACCCTCGTGTCTTTGCTCCACTTGGGCTACCTGATTCACGATAAGCCGTGGTTCATGGTTTCCTCGGTAGTCTGAAAAAGGAGGAACTCCTGCACACGGTGTTGACTGTTTATCGCTACACAGCCCACAGGCCGCAGATCGAGTCCCGCATCGATTGGGATTAGTTAATTCAAATTACCCGAAATATTGAATATGAGGGATTTGATTGACATAATCCCGGAGTGGAATCGATTTATTAGATATATTGAGTTACCGACCCTGCAGGTAGGGTTAGAGTTATCATGGCAGAAGCTTAGCGACGGTTAAGTATATTATTCTACACAAATGCCGAAAGGAGCATGTAAATTTGCGTGGTGGAACGCAAGGTTTTCCGACCGAAAGACAGGGAAACGCGCTGCAAATAAAAGGCTGCCCGACGACAATATGAGGTAATGGAAATTCTCAATCTAACCAATAATGCAATGAACTGAAATGGGCAGTTTGGCATATTCAAGACCCCACTGCCCAGAGACGGGAGCACCTTCAAAAACAGTGGCTACCCTATCACAGGCTGTAGCCCAGCGGCCAAAGCACTAACAGGAAAGAAAGATGTACAGAGGAGAAAGCAGGTGCTGTTCCTGTATCGTGCATCCCTTTCCGCGGTCATTTTTCTCTTTCCCTCTTCTGTCTGAGCCAGTGAAGCCATACCCAAATGTTTGTGCACCACATGGCAGTCAGGGACTAGCACGAGCGGTGTCAGGGGTTCTTGGCTGATTATGGAGGGCAGATCGGAAGTACTGCTCGTTAGACTTTCTATTTCGGAGCCTCGTGCTTGTAAATGAGAATGAATCGAGAGGAATAGAAAGCCGTGGTCTATGTTTAGGGACCCAGAAGATCTCGGTGGCTACACTAAATGCTGTGTGCAAAGTGTAAGTTTTGATGATCCGCCCCTTGTCCTGAATAGGAGTCGTGACGGGCGAGCTCTCAGCAATAGCCAAGGGATTGGCGAAAGTTCAAGTGGGGCGAGCAAAGAGGGAAAGTGGTGGAGAAGCCAAGATGAATAACCGAGCCTGTGATTAGTATTGTCGGCATCTCCGGTGTAGGGTTAGGCGAGGCGCTGGCGGAAATTGCTACTGGCCACCATGGCATCTGCCGGGCAGGCTGGAAGATTGTGAGCCAGAGCAGAATCATGGAAGCATCAATTAAAGAAAGAAAAAAAAAAAGTGAGCAATCTGCCAAAATACCTTGGGGCTGTCTATGCCTACAATAATCAAGAGGGAGTGGGGGCGAAACAAAAAGAAGAAAGTAGCAGTTGAAAGTGTATGGACTGTGGAGGCCAACAAGGAAAATGTCAGAAATTGCCGCTTCTGACGTGAACTGAATGGGGACTAGTGCTAAACTCAATCATTTTACAGCCTATGAGCTTATTCAGTATTTGGTACATTTATGTATTCTTTATTATACTCTCTATAAATATCAAAGGGAAATGCTTCCCGCTTGGGTACCAAATTCTGTTCCAACGATCGTCCATGCCGAGGCCCGACGAGACCATTGTTTTTAGCAACCAACACGAGTCTCTCGGGGAAAGAGGACCCACTCAAAACCCCTGGACCGGCAGTCGCACTTGGACGCCTCGAAAACCGCCTGCACAAGACTGCCGATCCAGTGTTTCGGGAAATCGGACAAGATCCCCGTCGGGCTGGTACTCGCGAATCATGGCACTTGGAACGTTCTAAAGTGAGCTACCGTAGCAGGCTAATACCGGTCCGTACCCCGAATACCAAATAGTGCCATAGACCTAAGCCCCTCGAAAAAGTCTCTACCGGGTAAAATGGGATGCTAGATAAGGATCTACTTGTTTAGTCAACTTTAGCTCATACAGAACGGGTCATAAGGTTGTTTGGGGTAATTTCAATGAGGATCATTGCTCATGTCCCGTGGATCACGGCATCAAAGCTCACCAACGGGAACCCGTGGTCTAGACTTCATATAAGATGGCAGTTCCCTCCAGTCCGGTCTCGTGGTGACTCCTCCCTAACCTCCCTCCTCTTGGACCCTGTGACCTCTGTACCTGGAGGGGCCTTTTGGCCATTATGCGCCTGCGTGAAATACTGATTGGGATCTCAGTGTCTCTGGTCGCTGGGGCCTCAGCGGCGAATTCCACTCTACCTCAATGCGCGGTATGTTCGGGTGCTACTGGATCGCCCTGCCCCTGGCTAACCCGTACAATAGGTTACCTGTCAGACGCAAGTTCTAGCTGCCAACTCGACCTCATGCGCAACGACCGATACAACATGCCTGTGTAATGATGACGCATTTCAAGATGACATGACGACGTGTGTTACTGCGAAGTGTACAGGCAGAGAACAGCTCCGTATGTCGCAGTGCAGGCTTTGATCTGCTGCCATCTAACAACTTGCAGTCACCAAACGATTAGATAGCCGACAATGCGGAATCCCTGTTCATAAAGGACGCCCCGCCGTGGAGGCCGCTACCATTGTTCCGCTAGTCATCTCAACGCTCCTTTTCTTGAACCGAATCCTCGCGAAGATCATGGGTCTTGGTGGTGGTTGGGGTGCAGACGATGTTACGATTACTATAGCATGGGTAGGTACCACGCTACACGTACCACGTATTCTTTACTCATGATGACTATAGGCCCTTGCAGTGGGCATCTTTGGTGTCAATGTTAAGAGTAAGTTTGGTTTGTTGGACACCAGGTGATTGTCTAACCATCCTTTAGTGATTGAATTGGGTTTCGGCAAAAACATGTGGGACATTATCCCAATGGACAATATCACTCTGATTTTCAAGGTGGGTGTCTACTCATCACTGCCACAATTATGTTCTAATTGTATTTTTAGTGCTTTCAGGGGTTCGTTGTGATGTACAAGACACAGGTTTCTCTCGCAAAGATTTCAGTGTGTCTGTTCTTGTTGAGAATCTTCCAGTCTAATTTGTTTCGTTATACCACATGGGCGGTCATCGGCCTGAATGCTGCTATTGGGATTACATGGGTCCTTACCGATTCCTTTCGATGCATTCCCGTCCACTTAGCCTGGACGCAGTGGGAAGGGCTCGAAACAGGGAGATGTGTCGACTTCATTGCTGTCACGTTCGCCAACGCTTTTGTTAACATCGCCGTCGATATAATCATGGTGCTCATGCCGGTTTATGAAGTGACCAAGCTCAACTTGTCTGCTCGCAAAAAGTTGGGAGTCAGTGTCATGTTCGCCATGGGTCTAGTGTACGTATTGTCTCTCTCGCTGTCGCCGTATCTGCTAACCCTCCTCAGATTGACAGCAGTGGCAATCATTCGTGTCGTCGTTTTCTGGTACAACCGTTGGAACACCAACCTCACTGGTTCGTCCCGGGTCCACGCCCCTGACCAATACCTACTAATTCAGAAGTACAGAACAACTCCAACCCATCGTTCATTGGTCGGTCCTGGAGACCCAAATCGCCGTCATGTGCGCCTGTCTGCCCACATTCCGTGCTATGCTCGTGCATCTCTTCCCGAAAGTCCTGGGCAATACCAGCGACCATTCAACCTATGGCAAACGGAACACGCCTAGCGGAGGTGCCGCATTTGGATCCCAGCAACCATTGAGCAAGAGCCATATTAACAAAACAGTCTCGTACTCTGTCGATTATGGGGGGAAAAAAAAGCCCCAAAGAAGCAGTTTCGTGCAATTGGTGGAATTGGACCCACAGGCTCATCCATAAGTAAGCGAGTCGGTTCTAGCCGAAATTATTGCCGATTTTGTAATTTTATCTTCGCTCCACCATCTGTTCCACAATCTCCTTTCTTTTGTTTGGGACTGCTTTACATTAAGTATATATCATTAACCATGAAATCATACAAGCAATGACAGGAGAGAAATATTCCATGATGAAAGGATGACGCCATCGGGACAACTATCCTAACGATTTCCAACAGCTAGCAACGAGCTCTCATAAAGGTCAGCATTAGACTAAGGAAAAGAAACACACTAGACTTCCATATTCACGTTTTTATCAACACGTTATGTCTGGATATAGGTGCCATCAGTTTCACTCTCTGGTTAGTAAAGTATGATGGGATCCACATAGTATCGAACCTACGGCCGAAATGGCGCAGTCAAAGGCTCGGATCAATGGGAATGAGCTCGATGCTGCCTGGATCAAAGAGGAATGCTATAAACAGAACGAAAAACTCAGTCAACACATTGAAGATTCCCCGACTCAGCATTATCTACTTGTTCTTGGAGATTACCTCAAGCGTGGTCTAAAAGCAAAGCTCGAAGCCCTTGGCGTCCAAATCCTTCAGCATAATGGTGACAACATCTACTTGTGCTTTTGCAAAGACAAAGAAAGGCTGCAAGACATCTATGACCAAGAAAGTGTACACGGTGTCATTCCTTGCCCCTCAGAGCTCAAGATCGAGTCAAGCCTGCAACTATCTGGGGATGAAGGGATCGATACACGGCAGGTGCAAATATTCTTGCGCAGCGAAATAGATATGCCAGCCGAAAAGGTTTCCGAGGAAATCAGTACGGTGACCAGTATTCCAACTCAGTCAATGTCGATTGAAGATAACCAATCAGTAATCCGGATGGAAATAAAGCAAATAGACTTGATGCAAATTGCATCATTCGAGAGTGTCGCCGCTATCCGCGAGGTAGTTGACCTGGATTACAACATTTACACAGCGAGAGAGACCATAGGAGTAAACAAGTTGCCCAACAACACGCAATATGAGGGTGATGACCAGACAATAACTGTTGCTGATTTTGGATTTGACAAAGGAAGTCTACAGGACGTGCACCCTGCATTTGGCACACGTGTTTCAAAGCTGGTTGCTGTTAACAGGGAAGGGCAAACTAATGACAGAAATGGGCATGGAACACATGTCTGCGGCACTATACTTGGAAACGGGCAGTGTAGGGAAGGGAATATAAGAGGAACTGCTCCAAACTCTAAATTGGTTGTGCAGTCAATAGACGACGAGCAGGGTCAAATTATTGCCAACATGAATACATTCCTCCAGCAATCTTACTTCACCCATGCCTCTCGTGTGCATAACAACTCTTGGAGCCCTCGGTGGAGATCAGCGGTCACGAACTCAGACGGTAAAAAGGGTATACAACCCGGACAAAAACCATACAACTCGCAATCAAAGGATATTGATCAGTTCATTTACGAGCACCCAGACATGTGTGTTTGTTTTGCTGCGGGAAACTTCGGAATGGAACCACTCCAAAGCGGCAACACATCGTGGCCGGGCCACATTGGTGGCGTTGCGGCATCCAAAAACGTTATCACAGTCGGCTCTTGTCAGAATAGAACAAGTTCATATAATGAGCTTGGAACCCAGTATAGCCCCAGGGGAAATGTCAGGTGGACATTAAGCTCTATCTCTCCATTCAGCAGCCACGGACCAACATTAGAATATCGCAGCAAGCCGGATGTGGTAGCTCCTGGTGGAATGGTACTGTATGCGGCATCACGAGATCCTAAGGCTTTGGGAAAAGAGGGATATACAGATTATGGACCAGCGGAACTTCCGCTCTGGAGATATTTATCTGGTACTAGTATGGCTACTGGTCAAGTAGCAGGATGCGTGGCAGTATTACGACAGATCTTGATTACTGCATGCAAGAAAGCTAATCCAACTGCAGCTTTAATCAAGGCCATGTTAATCAACGGAGCAACATTACTTGAAGGAAATGTTCCTCGCAGTCAGCAGGGCTTTGGTCGTGTAAGCCTTGCTGACTCAATCATTATTCCTGGTAGAGATACAAGCACAAATCGCGAGTTTGTTGAGGGTGAGGTATATGATGAAGATGATTCAGACGTGTATACAGTTGTCATCCCCTTGTCGAAGTATCTACCGTCGGAGGATGCCTCGAAACTAACTCTAAAGGCTACTATGGTCTATTCTGACCGGGGAGGAGAGGCTTTGCAACATATTCTTAATCTGTGCGTGACTATTGGGGTTGACGATCGGTTTGGAAATTCGACTGAACACGATTATCTCCTCCGAGATGACATCAACAATACCGAGCAGGTTATCTGGTCAGGGTTGAAAAAAGAAACAAGAGCTACTATTCGTGTGATTCTTCAAAATGCCTTGTTGGGTAATGGTCCAAAGCCTCTTAAGCAGTCATTTGCACTTGTTTGGAGCGTGATTGGAGAGACGGGTTAGAAATCGGGTACTAGTTAAAGAGTTTGAGAAGATAGCAACACAGAGATCACAATAGCGGGCTATTGGATTAAGTACATTATATGGGGTTTCTAAATCATTGAGTATATGTGTAGCGTTACTATGTTCTTCAGTCTATTATAGAGTGGCAAACAGCCAGGTCAGGTTAGGCCAGGTTAATAGCAAGGTTTATACATTCTGTCAGATTAATAGTTAGATTAAGAGAAATCTTATACCTGGCTATAATCAAGACTATAATTAGTACAATTAATTATTCTAACTATTTTTAAAATCAACATTTCATTGATTATACTTATTTAAGTCTTAGTACAAGTAAAATGTAGTTAAATTGATTTTTGTCTAATCTAACTATTTATATATTTTTTAATAAATAATTAAATGTATCAGAAATTCAGAATAAATAGTTTTATTATGGAAATCAATAATCTAGTAGGGAAATCTTCATAACGGGACAATGGTCAGATGATGTCTGATAAATTTCTAAATAATATTATTTAATAAAGCTTTGCATGAGAAATATAATAATATAACTTTTATTTCTTTATTTAATTATTTAGCTGTTATTGCAGGGCTGTATGCTTCTCTGTAAGGTTTCCGTCCCCGCTGTCGTAATTGACTGTAATCTTTTGTAATTGTATGTATATTGGTACAAGGCGAACCCAGTAAGCATATAATTGTTTATTTCCATGGAATAAGGATCTTTCTTAAAAGAATTAGTTACTAAACTAAAAATCTATAGAGGCAGCTATTGTTATATTGCAGGCAGTTTGCTGGCTTTTGCAGATGATATGGAAATTCAAGAAATAGAATTAGTTATAGTATGAGTCAGCTTTTATAACATCCTTGTAATGATTAATGCTTTGTTCTATCTAATATATCATTAATTACTGAGATAAGTGGGCTATATAATACAGGAATATTGGTTCGCCACGCACACTATATGATCTTTTTCTGTAGAAGCTGCGGGGCTAATGTTTATAATAAATTAGTTAATGCAAAGTAGTAATACGGGGATGTGCTATTAATATAAGTGAGTATTTAGTGGTAGATTATAGCCCATTACTACTATCTTTGATCCCCGCATGTTGAATGTATTGGAGGATTATATATAAGCTAATAGAGATACTGTCAATCAGATATGCCTGTTGCATGGGATTGACTTGGAGGCTATAGAAATGATAAAGGATGATGGTAAGAATATTAGTCTGCCGTCTTTAGAAGGAAATCCTTTGTAGCTGTCAAGGTATATACACTATAATACCACATTCGTGGGTGCTGAAGCCATGATCTAGTACAGATAAGATATTAGATTCTGCTAGTAAAAGTGTATCCAGTAACCTGAACTTTTTTTGATTAATAAGTTTTTGTCTTCTAGTCTTCAGATTTATATTCAAGGCTTCTACAAAGAATATATGATGTGATAATTTTCTAAGTCCTCTGATAATGTGGTGTAATGCAGATAAGATATTTATAATGGATCCTGTGGAGCAGCATGGCCCTGCTCTGTATATAATGTGAGAGTCACCGGTATAATGATACTGGGATTTAATACTTTAACTTAAGCTACCCTTGAAATGCATCTAGTGTGAATTATTATGAGTTATCAAGCCGTACCTGTCAGCCTTAATATATACTTTAGTCACTTTTTTAATTGTTCGAGTGGCCGGTTACAATATGCTTGTAGTTAGATTCAGTGAAGGTATTTATTCATGCAGATTCCAGTTACTGTAGCCGGGTATTGGGAGAAAAGACAACTAAATGTATTATGCTTGAGTAGACTTTGACAATATACTAAATATTATATATTATCTCCCTCAAGAATGTATATAACTAGCTGGAAGCGTACTAGTTTGTTTCATGGTGACTGGACTCGCACAGTAATGCGTCCAGTGTAACGCAGTAAAAACATGTCTAATGCAATGAACATCAGCCCGGCTAAAGTTATTTTTATCTATAACCGAATCAAGTGGGAGAGGATACTAACTCTTCAGACTTGCGGTGAGATGTCACTTTCCTTTTATTTAAGATGTGAAGCATAATCTCAGCATATCTATGATGTAAAGTTGCGAGCTTTCCTAGATTAATGTAGGACATATTTCTGCGCTAATAAGATTATTAGAAAGCTTTGGTGTATAGGAGTAAAAGTGTCTTGCTAAATTATCATTCTAGTCTGTTGGTTTGCTGCCCGCGTACTCAACTATTTTCTGCTCTTTTAGTTATTATGAACGGCTAAATCATACACCAGACAAATTGATTGGAAAATCTTAACTGTTGATCTTGTATTTAAAGAAGACAGTCAGAAACTGCAGCTGTCCTAAAATGTTGATGTCAAAGGGTGATGAGAGGTGTTAAGAAACAGCTTTCGTGTCCTCGTTCCTCCGTCACAGTCGGTACTGAGATTATGTGGGTATAATTTTATGGAACGGATAATCAGTTATTATTGCCGGCAAAGGCAAAGTTTCCGGTGGCGTCTACCTGTTATTCGATGTTCGGAGCAACAAACTATCCGTTACCAGGTAGTCCCACCAACGCCCCAAGGTTAACAATCTCCACTTTGTATCGGCCCTAATTTCGTCAACTCCCCAAGTATGAACCCAATACCCAAGCACCCATGAGACTTGCCCGACGGCGAGGTATTTTAAATTCATCCGACGCATGAATATCTCCTCGTTAGAATGTGGATATTCCCTTAACGTATCTCCGTTTATTATGGTCCTCCAATGCCAGCACAATAGAAACAGATATGTAGTATATAATACAAGCGACTGACCAGCAAATGCACTCGGTCGTTGTCTCAAAATCTCCCCAACTATTTGATATCAGCTCGTGAGCGATCCCTCTCTCTCAAGAACCGAGATCTACCCTTCTCTTTTCTAAAATCCTACATCCACAACCGATGACAATGTCTCTTAACAGAGCCCTAATCTTCAAAAAAGTCCCTACTGGCTCCCTCCCAGTCCCAGGAGAAGACCTCGCCACCGAGCCAGTCACCCAGTGCGACCTCAACAGCGCCCCAGCCAATGGCATCCTGGTGCAGTCCCTCTACGCAAGTTTCGACCCCTACATGCGAGGTCGCATGCGCGGCGCCGAACGAAAATCATATGTACCAGCATACAAGCTCGGCACGCCCGTTGACACCTTCGCCATCGGCAAGGTTCTCAAGACTAACAACCCAGCCTACCAAGAGGGCCAGCTTGTTTTCGGAGAACTACCTATTCAGGAATACGTCGCCGTCGAGGAGACATCCATCAGCCGCGTGCGGCCCCTGGAGAATCCCCTCGGGTTAGAAGACGTGCGCGTGTTCCTAGGCCCGCTAGGAATGCCCGGACTTACGGCCTACTCGTCACTGTACAAGATCGGGAAGCCCAAGCGCGGCGAGACGATATTCGTCTCTGCGGCAAGTGGAGCCGTGGGACAGCTTGTAGGACAGCTGGCCAAGCGCGAAGGCCTCCGAGTGATCGGGAGTGTTGGGTCCGATGAAAAGCTCGCGTATATCCTGAACGAGCTAGGCTTTGACGCAGGGTTCAACTACAAACGCGAGAAGCCCCGCGAGGCGTTGGCACGGCTCACGCCAGAAGGTATCAACATCTACTATGACAATGTGGGCGGCGACCATCTTGAGGCGGCGCTTGATGCCTTGAATGATTTTGGACGCGTGGTGGCGTGTGGAATGATTTCGGACGTTAGTGGGGCGACGTACCCGGTTAAGAATATCCATGCCGTGATCACGAAGCGCTTGTACATGCAGGGCTTTATTGTGGCGGATGCTGAGTTCGGTCCTGCATATTTCATGGAGCATCAGGCGAATGTGCAGAGATGGATCAAGGACGGCTCGATCAAGTGTCTCTTCCATGAAACTGTTGGCGTTGAGAACGCTGCGGAGGGGCTGGTGGGGATCTTCGAGGGGAAGAACAAGGGGAAGGCCTTGTTGAAGTTTTGAGTAAAGGGACCAAATCGATAGATCATGGAGTTCTGTCTGGGGCTCTGTAGGTAGTAACTACACAAGTTCCGATATGACATAGAATTAAAAAATCACTCTACAGTCAATGGCCCATGCTTTACTTAGTTACTGAAGTGGCTTGGTTCAGTCGACCATTTCTGGATTCCGTGAAGTCCCAGAGCTTCCCTTAGGAACAAACTCGTCCAGCAAAAGACGAGCCAACTATCTGAAGTGGAGACGCGAAGAAGAGGATCCGCCGGTCGGGGAGTTATTCCCCCGACTTCGACCCATAAAACAAGGTTTCTGTGGTTCGACTAATACTGTTCCGTGGATCCAAACCAAAGGACGTCATGGTGTCATGAATATACTGTATAACCCTTCGAACCTTCACACCCTTAATCTTGATGATAAGAAAAGGATCTGTTTCAGTCTCCAACGTCTTCACCTCCGTAAACACAGTTCCTACACACAGTTTTCTACATCATAAGGAATGTCAAGACCCAAGCGTATCTTACACGTCGTCACCAACGTCGGGCACTACGACGATCCATCCCACCCGACAGGTCTGTGGTTGACTGAGCTCACACACGCATGGGATGTCTTCGAGGCGAGCGGATATACACAAACCATCGTCAGCCCAGCGGGCGGCCACTGCCCCCTTGAGCCTCGGTCTCTGAAGTTTCCTAATGTCGACAGGACGGCGAAAACGTGGCAAGCGGACGTGGAACGGATGGCGTTGCTCCAGAACACATTCAGCCCCGAGCAAATTAAGTCGGCCGATTTCGACGCGATCTACTTCACGGGGGGCCACGGGGTGATGTACGATTTCAAAGACAGCGAAGGCTTACAGCGCATCACGCGGGAGATTTTCGAGCGCGGCGGGGTCGTGGCCTCGGTGTGTCATGGATGCTGCGGCCTATTGAACACCACGCTTTCTGACGGGTCGTACTTGGTGGCTGGGCGCAAGTTGACGGGGTTCTCGTGGAGGGAGGAATTGCTGGCGCGCGTGAATAAGCTGGTGCCCTACAATGTGGAGGAAGAGCTGAAGAAGCGCGGTGCCCGCTATATGAAGGCGACACTGCCATTTACCTCCTATGCTGTGAACGACGGTAACTTGGTGACGGGGCAGAACCCTGGGTCGGCGAAGGAGACGGCGAAAAAGGTAGTTAAGGTTCTAAGTGGGTCGTGACTAGCAGGCGTAATGTATCTCGGTGGTGGAAAACCACCACACAACTGGGACTTGAAACAATTCTAATATAATAATCAATTTTCAAATTCTATACTGAATGATCCAAGTTCTCAACACAGACAACAGCCCATCTTCCACTCTAATGTCTGGATAGCATATCAGATGCACATCCATGAATGAACGAGAGTATCTTGTTGCCAAATTCCAGGCTCCTGGGGACAGCAGCCAAAAGTATCTCCTTGTAGGCCAAGGAGACGCCCAACCCAAGCATAAACGGCAAGCTCAGCCAATATTTGCTGTTTCCGGACTTTGCGCCACCTGGCCGTGTCTAGAAAAGCATTAATTTGTGGTCCTTTCCACCGGTAAATATTGAGACGTATAACGTACCTTCTTAATCCAATGGGATTTGATTGGAAATAAACTCCTGTACCAGAAATAGGCTTGAGTCCAAGGATAAGCCATCGCATTCCAATTCTTCTCATTTATATACCACTTAACACAGAGTTAGATATACTGTAAATCCCGTGAACACACGATGATGGAAGAGAAAGCAACTTACTGATTGACAACCAGCATTCCAAACTCGCTTTTGTAAGGCACCTTGAACCGCCTTGGAATACTCGTCTTCCGCAGTCGGAGAAAGCTCGACGGCGTCTGCTCGTTTATCGAAGACTGGCTTAAGGACACGGAGTGCGTAGTTGACGGAGCTTCAGCGTTATTAGTTGGTAATCAAGTCCGCGAATCAGTGCGCTTACTTTTCTGCAGCCATCAATGCCGAAGTATGGCCAGTCCCTGCGTTGGGCCCGAATAGCATGAAGAAGTTTGGGAAGCCACTCATGGCAGAGCTATTATAAGCTTCGGGCCCATCATATCTCTTCCAGTGGTCATTCAGGCTTCCATCGCGGCCCACGATGTCCATGAAGGGCGTGAATTGGTTTGTTTCGAAACCCGTTGCTAAGACAATGACGTCGGCAGGAATGACTCCGTCGGAAGTTCGCACGCCTTCTGGAACGATCTCAAGAATTTTTGCCGTTGTGAGATCAAGATTGGCACTGTGAAGGGATTCGAGATATCCGTCATTGAAAATTCGTCGCTAATAAAATCAATGTCAGTGTCTAGGTCTTGCAGCTTCATCGAGTCTAACGCACCTTGCATCCAACCTCGAAGTCCGGAATCAGGATATCGTGGTACTTGGCTGGCGCGGTATCTCTCATATATTTTTCGACCTCCTTTCTGCGCTTCTGTCGTAGCCTTGCGGCACGAGCTGTCATTGGAAACAGGCGAAAGCCATTCTCAGCCAGCAGGAAAATATGCAATCGATGGAGTTTCATTGCGAAAGGAACGTACTGGAAGATCCACTGCAAAACCTTGGGGTAGGTGAAATTGGTCGCAGGGAAGATCCAGTGTTGGGATCGAATGATCTGCGTCAAATGCTTCGTCTGCTTGACGAGAGCAGGTACAATCTGCGCTGCGGTGCCTACATTGACGTAAGGAAAATGAGAGAAGACCCCCGGTAAAGCAGTTTTAGTGCAGCTCACATCCATTTCCAATAACCACGACCCTCTTGCCCTTTAGACTGACGCTGTGGTCCCATTGCGCCGAATGGAACATGGCACCTTCGAATGATGAAGATCCAGGGAAATTGCACGATCGCGGCTGCGCAAAGTGACCTGTAGCGGAAAAAAGGACCTGGCATTCGTGTGCCCATTCTGCCCCAGTATCGACGTTGCGCAGCAACAGAAGCCATCGCGATGCATCTTCACGCCATATACACTGTTTGACCTCTGTGCGGAAATTCATTTTCTGTCTCAGTCCATAATCGGCAACAACGCCATCCTGATATGACTTGATCTCTTTCTGCGAGGGCATCAGCTTGCTCCAGCGAGCGTTCGGCGCAAATGAGAAGCTGTATAAGGCACTAGGCACATCGCATGCACAACCTACGAACCATCAGTATCGTCACGGCGGAAGCGGGTTGAGAAATAATCATTCTCGTACCGGGGTAGGTATTGATATGCCACGTTCCACCACAGTCGGCCTGGCGCTCGAAGTATTGGATGTCCTCTAAGCCATACCATCTTTTCAGCGTGGCTCCCAGCGCAATGCCACTTGCTCCGGCCCCAATGCAAGCGACTTGGCTGTAAGAGGGGAGAGAGCTAGCGTGGATAGGACTTGCGTCTGGCATATTTGGGTAACCATCCGATCTGGTGATTGAAGATGCTTGTATTGAGTCCCATTGTTATATATTATCCAATCGCAAGCGTTTCGGGAGCCCAGAAGGGTAGAAAGTTGCCTCGGCAGTAGGGTTATACCTTCCAGCGATGATTATGTCTGGCTGCTTCGGACGAATATCGAACCGAACATACCCGACGGGAGCAAGGTTATCCCGCCGCCCCGGCTGGGACCATAGAAAGCATAATCCGCATAATTCGCATTATCACCGAGGACTGAGAACAATTTGCCTTCAGGGGCTGATAATCTAAGCCCAAATCGTCCGAGATTTGCCACATCCTGTATATCGAGCGGTAATTGTATGCATGTAGTTGCAATTACAGCTATAATTCCCTGCAACGTGCATTTCTACATATCTCGGGTGCACGTCATCCTGCCTGACCGTTATGACAGTAATTCAAATATTGTTGGAGCTCGGTTGTACAGCTGCGGCGCTAGGTTGCATGTAGCCAGTGCATCAGATAACCCACACTGGGCGACTGAAAATCTGAGCCCACCGCAGGACTCGTAGATAGAGAATACGAAACGTTTCTGACCGATTTTCTAGGCCACCTAGCAGGCAGTGCCTGTCAAATATTGACTATGAAATACTCTTTACCAGCACCTTTCGCTTACCGATGTCCATAGTCTCAAGAAGGAACCTTGGAAGCCTTTAGAAAAATCTCCTCCGTAAGCTTCCACACCATATCACCAACACCCTTTTTCCGATACTCTTCGAGGAGCCTTCGATTGCCCACCTCAGACCCGTCCCAGTTCAGTATGATAGCATTCCTTTTGCCATCTCCAGTGGTACTCTTCGCAGACGTAGAGATCTCTCTACTCGTCGCCGCAAAAAGACTCCGCTCGCCGCTCTCCTTCTCCGACACCATCCACGGCCGACCTAGAAACATCACGGCCTTGACAATGCAGCCTACGAATCGGCCCGATTCGCGAGAAATCCCCGAATTCACAATCCCAGGATACGTGTGGATAAATGTCGTCGACGGATACCGCGACGCAAACTCTTCGACCATTAAGGATGTCATGGTTGTTGCGTGGATATCGCAATTCTCGACCCCGTAGTGGTTCTGCAGGTCGAGATCGTCTAGATATAGCTCTGTTTCGTGGCCACCGCCTAGAACGGATATAACCCGGGAGAGGTTATGACTACCCTCAGAACCAAGGATACAGCTGGCGCGGGTCAACTGCGGCATTAGGTTGTGGATGAAGCGCATGCGAGCGTAGTAATGGAGACTGAGCTTTTTGTCGAGGCCTTCCGCAGTGTCTGTATGTATGGCGAATTAGGTTAGATTGTGAAGATAACTATTTAAGGTCTAGGGACTACTCGATTCTCAGACGCACCTTCTCTACTACGGTTGAGCGTAAAAATACCGCAGCTGAGGAATAACACGTTGACATGGTTGACCTGGCTTCGAATCACGGCACATGTCGAGTCCACCTCCTTCAATAGCGATACGTCTGCTTTGAGAAATCTAATCTGGGAGCTCGGATTCAGCGACTTCAAGTCGTCAATGATCTCTGTTGCGCGAATCTCGTTGCGGCCAACTAGATAGACCGTCGGAGATAAAGTATGGCGGATGAATTCACGCGCAGCGTAGAGTCCAATTCCACTCGTACCACCGACTGGAACATCAGCTACAGCGTCTCAAGAGGGGTTGAACGCACCAAATACAGCAACGAGTCCCGTGCCGAGATCTTCTAAATTGCTGTTGTGAGCGCGGACAGCTTCAAGGGATACCATATTCTCTGGACTCTCGGTGTTTGGTGTATGAGATACTACAGGTTGACTGATATTCACCAGTCCGGCCACGGTGATAGCTTCATGTGAAGTAGGATTGGTTAAAGCATTGCAAGAAGACTTAAAGTTCTGGAGTGGCATTGCATTACTGATGAATTTAGTTCCGGCTTGACAAGCCCCATGGATACCGGTAGTGGGTCTGTGGGCGGAGGGATTGTTCGCCCGACTGCTCTTCACCCCTAAGTAGGTGGACCAACTAGTTCTATTGCAATCACCTGCATTTTTCGGATCTCTATCTCGGTACAAGATGCTTACTGTTCCCATGTGGTGGCCGTAGGTACGTAGTATGGACGATAAATCTAGCCATCCGAACCTGATACAGACATTCTACTCTATTTTACCCCCCCCCCCCAAAACCAAGAAAACAAAAAACAAACCTCCCATCGCAATGGCATTCGAATCCCTCGCATTCCACACCAAACTACGCATCCTTCGATGGCTAACTCGACTTCTAGCCTGGCTAGATCGCAAAAGACATCCAGTTTCAATAATTACCCCGACCTCCCAAATATCCATCCCCTCCACCCTGTCCGCCTCCCCGGGCAATTTCGACCTACACATCTACCACCCTCCCGGATACAACCAGTCCTCCACGGAGAAAGGAGGAGCCCCCTACCCTGTAGTGATCGTACTACACGGAGGCGGATGGTGCGTAGGGCACGCGCGCCATGACGAACGCTTCATCGAGACAGTCACGCAGCGCGGTAGAGCCGTCGTGGTAGCTGTCAACTACCGCCTCGCGCCAGAGCACGCCTACCCGGTACCTTTACTTGATTGCGTGGACGCCATGCTCTACATCTGGAAGAATGCTACAGCAATGGGAGTCGACAAACACCGCACGTTCATCACGGGGTTCAGCGTCGGTGGGCAGATGGCGTTCGCGTCTCAATACTGGCTTGCGCAGGCTCTCGCCCAGCATGAACATCCGCAGATTGATCGCGCCTCGCTAGGCACTGTCAAAGCCATAACAGCATTCTACCCGCCTATGGACCTCACGAAAACCCGTGCTCAGCGCGCAGCATCGAACCCGGCATTTATGGCTTTGAAAAAGAAACCCGCTTCCTCGTCCAAATTGATAGGCGATATCTTTGACCGCGCGTATTTTTGGAACTTGCCCGATACAATCGATAAAAGCCAGATCTGCATTTCGCCAGGACTAGCTCCGTTGGAGATGATGAGCAGGGCGTTGCCGAATCACATATATGTCAAACTTGCTGGCTTAGACCCCTTGTTGGCGGAAGGGAAAGCGGCGGCTGCTCAATTCGAAGCCGCGGGAAAGCATGTTGAGTGTGAAGTGGTCGAGAATGTGCCGCACTATTGGGACCATTTGGGTAAGACGGAGCATGAGAAAACGCTTCGGTCAAGAGTCTATGAGCAGGCAGCGGACGAGATGGAGGAGGTGTTAAGAAATGTGAATAAACTGTAGGTAGGTCTTTCCTACTGGTTAGGTGTTTTTGTTGGACTTTTGCTTGTCTTTTTGATCACAAATTTTACTTGACGCGTATACTTACTACAGATGCGATAAATCGCCTATAATCTCTAAGCAGAGCAATTGCTCTTTAGTATTCTAGAACGTTATAGACAAGGCAAATTGTTCGGTCCGAGAACCTGGGAAACCGGAACCTCCACGTCGTCCTTGATCCTGCTCGTTGCTATTGGGAATTCTTCCATACGGGGCGATGCATGCTTCAAAATCCGTCAGTTTTAATCGATCGCGATCAAGTAAATGGTTTCGGGTTGTAGGTCGCCGTGTGCGAGATTAAGCGAATCTAGAAAAGCAACGGCTTGAGCGAGGTCGTTCATCCATGTCTTTCGTAGGAGTAGTGAGGTTCAAATTTCTCCATTTTTGTCACTACACCTGTCTGCTGGTCGCGAGTATGATTGTGTTGTATTCTCGAACAGGGTGTTACATCTAATGACAGACACGGCCTGCTGGGTGGGCTAGAGAATCGGGTGAAAATGCTTGTATTCGGAAACGAATTTCCCTGGGATCAATACCTATGACTAAGAAAAGGGTCCAACGTAACCTCACCTCCGCTTCCGTCGGGCAGATTAAAACGCCGACTCAAATAAGCTTTCGGCACGATTGGCTGATTCACCGCCACTTCCTGACTTACTTAACAGGCATTCCATTCCTTAACACGTTTGGACTCAAAGCAATTCGCTCTCCTGCTACCAACCAAGATGCGTTCTGTCTACATTACAGAACATACGGCGCCCGGCCAATACCAGCTGGGCGATGTGCCCTCGCTGGTCGTGGAGAAGCCCAACGACATCTTGATCAAGGTTCATGCCGCCAGCATCAACCCGATAGATGTGAAGAAAGCCTCGGGGGCAACGAAAATGGTTCTGAAGGATAGGTACGAACTTGATCTCCATGACAATTTTTTTGGTCTAACTTCTCTGAGCAGCTTTCCGTATAAAATTGGCTACGACTGTGCCGGCACGGTGGTCAACATTGGATCTCAGGTAACACGGTTTCAGGTCGGTGACGAGGTCTTCGTGCGATTACCAGAATGCCACCGCGGATCATGGAGCGAGCTCGCCCGATCGACTGAAGACTTTGTCGCATTGAAGCCGAAGAATTTGTCTATGGAAGACGCCGCGTCAATTCCATTAGCGGCCATGACATCCCTGCAGGCGCTGCGTGGCTACGAAGGCGATCTCGCGGGTAAGACGGTTTTCATACCCGCTGGTCGTAAGTTCCCTATTCGGTTATCACAGGCTAAATACTTAACTAACCTTGACACAGTTGGCGGAACTGGCATTTTCGCATGCCAGCTCGCAAAAAGTATCTTCAAAGCCGGCAAGGTGATTACTACGGTTTCCACCCAGAAGGTTCCCAAGGTGAAAGAGCTGTTGGGAGAGGGGATAGTAGACGAGAGTAAGTAGACACTGACTCTGGTCTGATTGATATTACCAGAAGACTCACAAATGTTTTCAGTCATTGACTACAGAAAGTCCGATCCTAAGGAAGTCATCCCCAAGGGATCTGTCGATTTCATCTTCGACACGACGGGTAGTGCAATGGAATATCTGAGTCTAGTTCGACCGAAAGGAGCCATTATTACAGTCTCTATATTGACCTCTGGAGACGTTCTTCAAAATTCAAGCGTTATGCGCTTGTCGCCCGACAAGAACGATAAAGCAACAGTCCCCTTCCCTCTCCGGATTGCACTCAACGTGATGGATCGAATCCGAGTAGCTCGTGCATCTCGTTATGGGGTCAAATACGCATCCATCTTCCTGGAACCAAATGCGGCTGATTTAAATTCAATTCGGGGATGGGTGGAGGCCGGGAAGTTGAAAACGGTTGTGGGAACGAAAGCAAGTTTTAATGATATTAAGGCAGTCCGGGATGCTTGTCAAGTGGTGTATGATGGGAAGGGAGGCGTTGGCAAGTCTGTGATTGTGTTTGATTAATATAATTTCGCTGTATAATTAGGAAGTTCTTCTGTCAGGCTAATTCTACTACAATTTTTTGAAATTCTTGCAGGATCTTATTGGGACACCAGCTAATTACATTTCATAAAGTCAATTGACGCATACCAAAATACAAGGATACCCACCCTGTGTAGAAGAATAAGAAGAAAATTTGCTCCCTTCTTCAGGTAGTATAGAACGACAATGTGTGCTCAATCCGCTCTATTGCCATTGCACAAATACGGCCATAATTTCATAAAATAAAAAAGATATAAAGACCGAGCAAAACTGCCATGCGGAAAGAAGGAGTAGCATGGGAAAAATAGGGTTCAGCTAATGATGCAGTTCAGTCTCCACTTATGGCGCCATCGAACTTTGTGGCGGATGGATTGTTGGTCCGATGTCCGTGATAAATTGACAACTGACAAGCCTTGGGTGGGTCCGCACTCCAAAGTGGATCTTCTCAGCATGAATCTCGTATTATCCGTCACAGCCATATGAGGTTTGGATAGGATCCCGAAAAACAGAAGCAAATTGATAATCATGGCCGACGAATACCTCGGCAGTACCTTAGATCCTAGGCTTTCCAGTTTTCTTTCTCTCTCTAAGGTTCAGATCGAGAGAATCAATACCAACACTGACTATATTTTGAATCGCTTGCCTGGATGGGACGGGAAATCAATCCAATAAATATTGACAAAACATAGTTTCTTGAGGATGAGCACAGCTATCAAGGAACCCCTTAGGCTACCATGTGGGTTGGTTTTTCCTAATCGCTTAGTGAAGGTACCGCAGATGACCACTCTACGGATTCTATAGTAACTAATACCCTTGTCCAGGCTGCTATGGCCGAAGGACTAGCGGAAGGAAGCCACCTACCAGGCCCAAGGATATCTCGAGTCTACGGCGAATGGGCAAACGGCGGATGGGGTGCTCTTCTCACTGGTACAATTCAACGACCCCGAAATAATTCGGCTTAAAATCTAACACCATAGAAGGAAACGTACAGGTCGATGTTCGTCACCTAGGAGGCAACGGCGATCTAGCTACGAGTGAGTCTCATGAACATGATCACCAGTCAATGGATACATGGAGGCGATACGCAGAAAGCTGTCAAAAGCACGGCACCCCTGCCATCGCTCAAATATGCCATCCAGGCCGGCAGTCGTCGAGAGGGGCCGGAGAACGAGGCTTCTTCGAAAGAACGATCGCTCCAAGCGAAGTGCCACTTGATGTAGGAAGTGGTTGGGTCGCGAATGCTATCAGGGATCTTATTTTCGGGGTCCCGAAGGCAATGTCGCGCTATGAAATAGAACGTGTGATTGCCCAGTTTGTAACATGTGCTCGCATTCTCGCTCGTTGTGGCTTTTCTGGAATCGAGATTCACGCGGCGCATGGTTACCTTTTGTGTAAGCTTTACTTTCTTCAGTTCATGCTGGTCTTATGAGCGTGCGTACACGGTTGACTGATACTGGATATAGCGCAATTTCTCTCACCCCGAGTAAGCATGATATACCCACAGATGAACTACAGTTTCCTTAATATGTGTGCTTACTCGAACAGAGCAACATCCGTCAAGATGAATATGGCGGCAGCGCAGAGCGGCGAGCGCGTATTGTCCTCGAGATCACCCAACAAATTCGAAATGCCGTTCCTGCAAACTTTTGCATCGGGATCAAGTTGAACTCCGCTGATCTTAACACATCAGAATGTGAAGACACAATGTCTCAAATTCGTCTTTTCGCAGACGCCGGTATCGATTTCCTTGAAATATCTGGGGGATCATACGAAGACCCAACTGTACGCATCCACAGAATGATAAACAATAATCCAGTTCTAGAAAATATAGATCAACCCACTAACAGGGTTAACAAAAACAGATGATGGGCCGCGGTGTCCGCGACGAATCCAGCCGCGGCCAAAGCCAAAGTACCGAATCCCGCGAAGCCTTCTTCCTAGACTTCGCAAGACAGACAAGAAAGCAGTTCCCAGACCTGATACTCCTTCTCACTGGAGGATTCCGGACCCGGAAAGGAATTGAGGGCGCGCTTAACAGCGGCGCATGCGACCTGGTCGGCATCGGCCGTCCAGCAGTGCTGAAGCCAGATTTCCCGCGACTCATGATGGACGATATGTACACGGATCAAGAAGCGCGGGTGGTATTCTCCAAAGTGCAAGTTCCTTTCTTGGCGAGTCTACTCAAAATGCGCATGTTAGGTGGAGGGGCAGAGACGGTAAGTTTATATCCGCCGATGGTTGATGGATTAGTGCTGATAAAACGAAGCGGTATTTCCGAGACCAGATCCGGCGTATAGCTACGGGCTTACTTCCGTATGCGCCATGAGCTTTGATTCCTTTGCGTAAATAACTATCGGATGTATTCAAGCAATTAGAAATAACCTGTAAGTAAAGGGATAATTCTGACGCAGATACGGAGGATATAAAGATAGTTTATCAAGAGCCAATAAAGCTTCTTATCTAAGATGTTGAATATACTTGGGAACTCTCTCAAACTCAGGAAAATGGCAATTGTGTCAGGAGAGATAGCGTACCCCTCTTGGACAAACCTCCGGGAAGGCATTTTCATACAGCTCCCAGCTTTTACAGTATTCTTTCAAAAACTTTAGCGCATCCTTTCAGATTGCAGGAGGGCCTTTCCGAAGGACACCACCGCCGCATAAAACAGCTTTCATGCTGTTCTTTCGTAAGCACCCTGGAGAAGATTAAACACCACTGACTGCTACTTGTAGAGGACCCCTCGACACGTTTCAAATCTTGAAGGTCTCGTAGGCCGCGGTTCTCGTGTTTTCTTGCTATTTTGAACGGAATTCCGGGCGCTGTCTAGGTCTCCTTCGAACACTTGTGAGAGTTCACATCGAACTAACACCTCTCCGACTAAGATTATGTGATATATTTCAATATAAAAGATACTAAATATGGAGTAACTAGCCAATAGCTTTATAGGGGAAAAAAATACTATATAAGAATAATGCACCGAGCCAGCCTATTAGTAATAAATAATTATTTGAAGTATCCAACTAACGGTCAAATAGAGTGTTAAAACTAGAGTCTAGAGATATACCCATAATGTTATTATAATTACTGATAAGTATAATTAGGCTAGCTTAGTATAAACATATCTTCTAAGCCATTTCTTGGTGTTCTGAACCTATCGTACTAAACCTGGAACCTGTCCGAACTGTATGCCCCGGGGATATGAACAGTTGGCCGAAGTCAACCACAACGAGAAAAGTAGAAAAAAAAAAAGCCATGGGAAATGGACGCGTGCCTTCACAGCTTGTTATGAGAAGCAAGTAATTCTGGATATTGGATGGCCAAAAAACTAGAGTGACGCTGTCTGGGCACTTTTCCAAGACCGATAATGATCCAACAATGTCTGCTCTAGTGGTCTATACACAATATTCAAATCATTCACACTGGGACGATTATCAATGTTGAAGGAAATCCCGAGGTTGAGTCGCAGCCACTTCTGGCTGAATCCAAGTACTGGCCCAGACATGCGTACTAAGGCATTCGGGATTGTATTCTTCGGAATCGTAAAGGACTGTGTAAATGACCGAATAATGCGAGCGAGCTCAACAAAACCATGTGTTGTCTTGTCGGCCAGAATATAGCGGCCATGAGAATCTGGATTCCGGGCCGCTCGAATATGCGCAGTTGCGACGTCTCGTACATCCGCAATTGCGAACCACAAATCAGGCACACCCAGAAAGAGCTGTCCGCGTAAGAGCTGATCCAGTAACGCCAGACTGCCGGACTCGGAGGTGGGGGATAAGGATGGTCCCAGGACCAGCCCCGGGTTTATGGTGACTAGCTTCCAGCGCCGGGGCGTTGGCTGGGCTTCGTACAATTTCCAGGCCTCTTTTTCAGCGACCACTTTTGAATAAGAATAGGAGTTGTGGGTGACCGAGCTCGTCGTGTTAAAATAGTCCGCGGAGAGCGTCTTATTCTTCATTCCTAGCACATCGGCATTATCACCGAAGATGGCCGCGACAGACGAGGTCAAGACCACCAGGTTGACGGACTCGCATTTGTCGACTGCATCAAGCACATGCTGCGTTCCTTTCAGAGCCGGCTCAACAACCTCTTTCTGGCCGTCGCGAATCTTGTTCTCGATGAAAAACGGCGAGGCGATATGATACACCACCGAACATCCTTTCATTGGGGCTTCAAATGAACCAGCGACAAGCAAATCTGCTTCGAATAAATGCAGCTTGCCCGGCCATCGCTCTTGCATGTCGAGGAGGTGTCCGATTTTCTTTTTATTCTTAGTACTGCGAACGGTTGCGTGGACCTGGTCGCCACTTTCAAGAAGTTGTTGGACAACGTGGCTGGCGATGAAGCCGCTCGCGCCCGTTACCATTGAAACGTTGCCTGTCATGTTGATGTGGATGGAATAAGGGGTATAACTTGCTTGGACTTTTAATCCTGTAGCACGACAGGCGAAAAAGAATGCCAGTCGAACCACAGGAAAGACGGTTTCTTGTATCCTTAATACCACCATTTGCAATCGCCTTTAAAGGTTATGGCATATAAACCATGGCTCTAGTGGGTCGACCCATCTCATATTGTCATTTTTGGATTTCGGCATTGCCACTTCCGGACAGCAGTGGAGACAGACACAGTCGGGGCCGGCTGGACAGTCACTCCGACAGCTAAAAAAACTCTATTTACTGTGTGGCTTGCGAGCTTCGTATTACCTTCGATAAGGAGTGGCAAGATGCATTGTAGCGATCTTCATACTCTCCGTTCGGTATAGGAAATGAAAATGCCTAAATACAGAGATATATAGTCGAACATGCAGCAGTCGACTCATACTTTCTATTCTGAGTAATAGCATTCATAAAGGCCCCAGACTTACAGAGCAGACCCCTACCAAGGGGTTCGACGTGAGTGTACTTGAGCCTTAGTTAATGAGCAAATGATCCTTTCCACCAAGATACTTCGGATAAAACATAGCAAAATCAAGTTTTCTAGTA